TGTTGCCAATTGACCTAATAAGTTGCAAATTGGTCCTCCAGCTGTTCCTTATATGTACATTTAACTTTTCTGGCCTCTTATTGCTACCTGTCCCAACTTTTTTGGAATTTGTAGCTCTCATGAAATCCAAAAGGAGCCAATATTTTGCATGGCAATTCAAAATGTCTCACTTTCAACATTTGATATGTCATTTATATTCTATTGTGAATAAAATATAAGTTTATGAGAACTTATATTTACATTTAACTTTTCTGGCCTCTTATTGCTACCTGTCCCAACTTTTTTGGAATTTGTAGCTCTCATGAAATCCAAAAGGAGCCAATATTTGGCATGGCAATTCAAAATGTCTCACTTTCAACATTTGATATGTCATTTATATTCTATTGTGAATAAAATATAAGTTTATGAGATTTCTAAATTATTCCATTCTTTTTTTACTCACAATTTGTACAGTGTCCCAACTTTTTTGGAATCGGGTTTGTACAACGGAGAGTGCGTCAAGTATAAACGCCTCGACCGTTTGGAGCGGTGCACGCGCTGTTTGTGGAGACTCGCGCTGCCTTGTTTACTTTCGCCTGCCTCCGCAGCGCGAGTCTCCACAGACAGCGTGCGCACCGCTCTTGACCCGCTCGCCACTGGAGTCGTCGTCATGGCAGCGCGCATTGTTTAGAGCAGATATAGGTGGATAAACAAACAAGGTTTCCGTCTCATCGCGGGTTCAGAGACACTGAAATACATCCACACCACAGACATGTTGCTTCAGACAAGCACGTGCAGGTCGCGGTTTCTGTTTGCGTCATCACAACATTTCGGCCGTATTGTTTCGGTGAAAAGTCTTTTCGGCGGCCGAATATTCGGTGCATCACTAATATATATATATATATATATATATATATATATATATAAATAGCTGCGAGCAGCGATGAAAGGGCCAAAGCCGGCGGCACTGCCCCCCCCCCGGTGCCTTTAGGTATCTAAAGGAACCGGGGTTGTGGTGCCACCGGCTTGGGCCCGTCATCGCTGCTTGCAGCTATATATATTTTCCCCCCCCTGTATGAACCACCCCGTGTGTAAACGCTCAACTTTACAGCAGAAAGTAGTGTTTACAGCCTGGTGCAAAAAGTGGTTTTGGTCATATAGCCTATTTTGCCCTTCATGGTGACTGAGGGGTTAATTATTTTTATTTAATTTATTTCTTTATTTTTTTTTAAATAATTCATCCATTTAAATTATATTAAGCCTTAAATTTGTGTATAATTAAGCGCATGACAACTTGAGTGATAGATGGATTACCGCTGATGTCACTGCTAGATGTCGTCTGATGTGTGTTAGCGTCATGTAACCTCTGCTAATACAGGAGTGACGCTGCCTAGATGTCAGGGCTTCAGAAATGCTCTTCAGGAACCAACGGGTGAGGTCACAGACACTACACCATATTGTTTTGCAGTCCGTGGTCTGAATGTTAAGTTTGTTCAGCCGGTTGGTGTCTGCCACACATCACTCCTCCACACTGGACGCCACCAACACTTATGGCTTTGGTAAGATGAAGGATGTCAATCAAACAGATATAGGACACATTATCCAATGAAGAGTGTTGTCTAGAGTCTGTGTGTGACGTGTGGAGGTCTGTAGCTTCCCATACACACTGTTTGTGTTGTTCATGAGTCCTGATTTACAGTCTGAGTTGTAGGATTTAAGACGACAAACAGTTGTAAAACGTGGTATGAGCTTGGCTGTAATCTCCTGATTTTAATTTCCTCCAGATTAGTCAGGGCTGCAATCGACAAATTACAGCTCATAACGGACGTTCAGAGTTATTAGACATGGAAGACAATTTACTTTTTAAATTAATGTTCCTGGTTTTATTGTGAATGATTAATCAGTTCATGCTATATCAGACTTCATAAGTTACAGCTTAGTTTTTGCGCCTGGCATTAAACGGGACTCTATGATTTCAGTGATGCAGGAACCATGGAAGCCAGTCAAAACAACAGAATTTACTGTATAGCCACAAAATGACTATTTAAATATGAATCCTTCATGCTCTGCTTGTCTCTGTGTGAATGAATAGAGCAGATGTGCGGTTTCATTTACCACACACACACACGCAACGTTCGTTGTGTTTTCAGCCTATACTGTAGCAATTAACATTTTGTCACATTTTACCTCTAGTAAATTACATATTATTGTAATTAATGTATTCAGAATTGGTGGAGAATCATGTTCTCTATTTGAAACAAATGAAATTTTGATTCTTAACTTAACCAGAATCTTGCAGCTCTAGTATGCATGTAAGTTTGTTGAGTGGGACTTTTGTCTTGAAGGACAGGTCTGGTGTGTGTGTCTAGTCTTTCACGTGCCCCTCACTGAGCCTCACTGATTCATGAGGAGCTGTTGAAAAGCTCTAGAGCTCGAACAAAGCAGCGTGTTCATGTCCTGGCTGTATCCCGGCTGAACCCGTGCCGGAGGACTCCTGCTGATGGACGGATCCGGTAGCGCCCGCTGCCAATCACATGACACGCCGGTGTGCTATACCAGTACGCTGTTCATCAGGAAAAACGTTCAATTTCAAAAGTGGAAAACATTCTGTTTTTTTCTATTCCTAAACCCCATACCTGAACTAACATCACACACAACTTTCTGCATTTTCACATTTTCAAAAAATATATAATTCAGAAACCTCGTCACTGCTGTGTTAGTCTTGCTCAGTGGGCTTTACAGACAATATGTATTCAATCAAATCTAGGTTTAAATGTAGATGTGCTTGAAACTGTCACATGAGGAACTAACTGGATTGTATTGACCTGATAAACGCCACAGTTTGAGAGGTGTTGGAGGAGATGTGCGAATCACACAACATCTGCAAGTCCCATGGCCAGTGATGATTATACTGGGATATTTGACTGCTCGATGCAGTGAGGAAGAGAATGGGACCTTGTGTACGGCTGTTTGTTTCTCACGCCAGAAATAAACACCAGAAATGTTGGTGTCATCAGTCCTCCAGTTCACCACCATTAGCAGCAGTCTTCTATCCCTTGACCAGTACACCACCATTACCATCAAACCTCTATCCCTTGCCCAGTTTACCACCATTAGCAGCATACCACTATCCCTCGCCCAGTTCACCAACATTACCAGCAGACCTCTATCCCTAGCCCAGTTCACCACCATTACAAGCAGACCTCTATCCCTCGCCCAGTTAAACACCATTAGCAGCAGACCTCTATCCCTCGCCCAGTTCACCAACACTACCAGCAGACCTCTATCCCTAGCCCAGTTCACCACCATTACAAGCAGACCTCTATCCCTCGCCCAGTTAAACACCATTAGCAGCAGACGACTATCCCTCGCCCAGTTCACCAACATTACCAGCAGACCTCTATCCCTAGCCCAGTTCACCACCATTAAGCAGACCTCTATCCCTCACCCAGTTAAACACCATTAGCAGCAGACCTTTATCCCTCGCCCAGTTCATCTGCCTTGTCCATATAAAGGTTGCCCACTTTTCCTTCCCATATGTATAACTTTTGTTATTCATGGAAGCCCGTTTAGAGATTCTGCTGTGAAACAGTTCACATAATTTGCTGTCATTGTTGAATGGTGTTTGATTTGAAAAAGCTTTTTTTTAACCACCTAAACACAATTTGTAGATCTGTGGTAACAAATAATTTCCAGTCGTTATTTACCCCCCACCGTCTCAGTGTTATTCATCGAGGGTTAGTGGTGATTTCTGTGGACCGTAATGCCAAAAATATTACATGTTCAATACAGTATGTCCTGAAGCCATCAGCTATCAATAATCACAACTCAATGTCACCCGTATGAGTCCTGTCAACACTCACTCATTTGATCAAGGTCGTGTAAGAGGACGCAAGCTTGCATGCCCTTCCTGCAGGAATGAATATCTTGAAGATATGTGCTGGTGTGGAGTGAGGAGAGCCTGAACACCACATCTCCTCATTGCTAAAGATATGAGAGATGTGTCTGTGCGTTCGTCCTCATTGACCCGAATGTAGCAGATGTCGATATAGCCCCCGGCTCTGCGCTCGGCTCTTTCCACAGTCAGGACTCCAGCTTTATGTGTGCGGGGACAGGATGTTGTAAAGTTCCCACATTGTCATTGTAAAGTGTGTCCTCTGTGTGGATGTGCAGGCCGTGTATATATCCCAGGAGCCTCTGCTTTCGTCAGGCCATTGTTTCTGTGGAGGAGGGACTTTTCCGGTGTTTGACCTTCTACAAACGTAACCTATCATTTGTGTTAAGGGTCGCCTAGTCTCGAAGGCATAAGGATTTTTATGTTTGCAGTTAATTTTCACTTGCATTATTGCAACTTTTACATGGTTAAATCTTCCTTCAGATGACAGCATTATAAACCCCTGTGACATGAAGAGAATTTGTTTTGAATGAATGGTGCAGCTGACGCGCAGTTTCTTTTATCGCACACACGCACAAAGTTTTTTGCCTATATGAAGACAGAAATGGATGAACTTCCTCTCCAGGCTCTAGATCCACTCTGAAAGTCACTTTGTGATCATTTAACTGCTTCATTTGAGAAACTATCATCATGACATAAACACACAGAAACTCAAAAGGTCTTCGCGGCAATCCATTAAAATAAGTTCGGTTTAACTTGACAGAAATATGTTACTGTTGTACAGTATTTAGATATGTCCTAATGTACTAATACACTAACACTAATCCAAATAATTTTTTTTTTTTTTTTTTTAAACAAAACTGAATTTAAGGAATAATCCATGTCTTAATTTAACAGTAAAGCTCATTGTGCAGCATGTTTTTTACAAAAAGTTTATGAGAAATGATAAAATTTGTGTTTTATGGCTTCATTTTATTACCAGCAAAAGAATTAGTGTGGATTTTTTTTCATACATATATATATGAAAAAAGCATGCTGATCAACTGCTATGAGCATTGCTATCCCATAGAGAAGTCTTCACATCAGATGTATTAATGCCTGTGTGTGTTTGTGTGTGTGATCGCAGGAGCCGTTTGAGGATGGGTTTGCTAATGGCGAAGAGCTGACCCCTGCCGAGGAGGCCGCTGCTAAAGAGGCATCCGAGTCCAAAGGGGTGGTGAAGTTTGGCTGGATCAAAGGAGTGCTGGTAAGATGAGTATACCAGAGGTCAGGTGACTGGATGATGTAGGAAACTCTGAATGAGAGGGTCATGTGACTTGTGACTTGTGGCAGCCGTTTAAAGAGCCAGGAATGCTGATGAGTGAGAGTTTCCTGCTGTGGGTGATAATTGATCTTTTATGAGTTTGCTAGATCTGCTGCCTGTACAGACTCATATTAGAGGCTGAATGTTAAACTGTCATGCTGTTGTAATGTTTACTGTGCTAATTCTCGCAACAAGCTGTGGTTCAAGATTATGACACAGGATGGGAGGATGGGGGGGGGGGGTATTTGAATCCAGTAAAAGCTTTATGGATCACAGATCTGCTCTGCTTCTTGTCTTTAGGTTAATATTTTGACAGGTCTTCCTCATCCTTGAAGTTGTCCTCATTTTCACCTTCCCAGTCTTAACATTTGACACCAAACAGCTTCTCATAGTGTCGACAAATGAAAATTCATTTTCATCCAAAGTGTCTTTCAAACCACGGCAGGAATTCATTCAGTGTTTGAAGCGTTGTGTGTTTTGAGGACTGCTCCGGTTCTCCCACAGCCTTTGTTGTGTAATGTCCCTTACCTCAGAAAAACATCAACTCTTCCCTTAACTAAATAAAAAATAAATATAAACAAAGCAAAAAAAAAAAAAAAAAACGCTTGGTAGAGTAAGGCTCTTGCAGTGAAAGTGCAAGGACAGTTAATGACAATTACAGTCCATGCTGTTTAGTGTCGCTAATGGCTCGTTTCCACTGAGGGGTACGGTACAGTACGGTACAGTACAGTACAGTACGGGTCGGGTCAGGTACACCATGATCAGGCTTGCGTTTCCACCGCCAACAGTACCCTTACTTGAAAGCCGTGGTATGCTGGAAAGAAGCGATCGACGTCATTTTCGCGCGAAGAAAGCGACATAGTAAACAACAATGGATGGCAGACAGCAGATCTTGTCACTAGAAACAAGCGCTGGCATTAGGCGTTTCCAAGAAGCCAACGCAAAGTCCGACTCAGGAGAATGATCCCGAGGACGCGAGTCCAGTAATTCTGTTATGGAACAGCGCGTTCTTGAACGCGGCACTCTGCTCGCTCGGGCTCTGCGACTCCGGTTATCTCTGTATGTTCATTTTAGGCAACAATACAACGAAATATTATAAAACACCACTCTGCTTCTTTTCGATTCCATTTCAATACATTTTAAACATTCTAAAGCACATAAATGTGGTTCAGGCAACGCATAGCCTATTGATTATCACTGCATGCATCTAAGTTAACGTTATATTTATGACAAAACTAAATATAAAACAACCCTGCCTCTTTTCGTTTAAATTTAAAAATATTAAACATATTCCAGGCAATATGTAACGTAATGTATTGCATATCGCATTGGTACAAATGCTGTAATAACAACATTACAGATGATCTTGTAATAGAATAAAAAAAAATGACAACTGTCTCTTTTTGTTGAATTTCAGTTTTATCAATAATAGCCATTATAAAAGTATACGTAAAAGGTACAAAATACAGTAAAGCTTAAATAATATCAAGAAACAATTCAGTCAGTCAAATATACAAATTCAGCGCTCAAAGATATGAAACTTCACGTAGCCTGAATTCTGCCAAAACTATTGGCCAGGAAACGAATTATAGATTCACGAGACCAAAGATCACCTGTTAGGTTTATACAAGACGAACTATATCTCATGTTTAACCACTACAGAGACGTCCGAGTCAGCGGCAAACATCAGGATGACTAGCCGAGGAAAGGCTGTTCCAGGCGGGGGACACGAGCGCGAGCGTCCGGTGATCGCTTGGAATGGATCTCAGTCAAATTATCAAAAATCTATAAATAAACCACAGATTTGATCTCTAAAAAACTACTTTCTCGCCTAAAAAAGTCTTAAAACTACATTTCGTGACACAATAACAGTAGAATTATATTTCAACTGTATGCTTCTAATGCCCTTGTAGCACGCGCGAGTGACAATACTCCGTCCACCAATCACCGTTCTGCAGTGAGTCTAGCTCCACCTTTTAGTACCCTTTCACTGTGCTAGGTACCCAAAAAGTGGTACGGTACGGTTCGGCTTTTTGGTACTATTCACAACTTTTGACAGTGGAAACGCAAATAATTGCGTACCGAACCGAACTGTACCATACCGTACCACTCAGTGGAAACGAGCCATTAAACACTGTTTACATGAGACTAGTGTGAAAGAATCACACGCTGACCTGTGTATAGTTAAATATAATCTCTAAACTTTACTGTCAAGACCATGTAAACCCAGAGGAATGAACACCAGAAAGGCACATGATTTACTGTGAGGAGCAAACTCGCTCACAAATTACAGTAATAATCTTTAAATTAATAAATTGAGTAAAAGTAACACGTAACCTGAAGTTTATCCACCTAGAACATTAGGAATGTCACCAAAAGATCGTTTAGATGCTTTGCTTTACATAAACCACTTAAACAAGTCACCTTTATTTCTATAGTGCTTAACAACACGGACTGTTTCAAAGCAGCTTTACAGAGATAACAGGAACATAATGCATTTCAGCTAATGTCAGTTCAGTGTTGATCCAGTTCTGTTGTAAAGATGATCACTTTTTAAATAAGTTTATTTTGTCTATAAAACAGTTCTGTAAAAATGATGTCATCGCCCAGCTCAGTTCAGTTCTCACACAACAGCGTCAGATCAGTAATACGACTGAATGTTAAAGGGATAGTTCTCTTCAAAATGAAAACTGTCAGTAATCACTCTCCCTCATGTTGTTCCAACCCCGTAAGACTTTACACACACATACATACACGCGCGCACACACACACACACACTGGGTGTCCCAGATAGCAAACTGACATTGAATCAACGTGGAAACGACGTCTCTCATGACATTGAAACAACGTTGATTTGCTCATCGAATTAACGTTGAACCAACGTCAGACGCGGCATTCTTCAAAGCTAAATGAAATCGAAAATTGGTTTGCTTTCATAACGTTGAAACAACGCGTTGATTTCAAGTTGATTTTCCGTTAGTTTTGAAAGAATGACGCATCTGACGTTGGTTCAACGTTAATTCGATGAGCAAAACAATGTCAGATCAACGTTGTTTCGATGTCGTATTTCCACGTTGATTCAATGTCAGTCTGCTATCTGGGGTCTGAGTGAGTTCACGAGTGCCACAACGCATGTGCAAGAACTGAGAAGATGCAGAATTACTGACAGAATATTCATGTTTGTGTGAACAAACACTTTAAGGTTCCCCAGTTCTCTGTTTTTGTAACGGAAGGTTAGTCTAACAATTGGCTTTATGCCCAGCTGCACTACTTCCTGAACTTCAGCCAGCTCCTTGTTTCCTGTCTGCCATTATTGGCCAAATTGATTAATTCAAGTGTACCTGACCTCAGTAGTCATGGCAACAATAATCAGACACACCTGAATTAATCAATTTGGCCAATAATGGCAGACAGGAAACAAGGAGCTGGCTGAAGTTCAGGAAGTAGTGCAGCTGGGCATAAAGCCCATTAGAACTCTTCTCTGGTGTAATGGACATGCTGTCTATAGACTTTAGCCCACAGCTTTCCTTCAAACACGATGGGTTCCTGTCCAGAGGTCAGAGGTCTCTGATTGCTGCGGCCGGCCCCTGGCCAGGTTTGAGAAACGGCTTTGGTCGTTGATGTTCTTGTCAGCATGAGTCTAAACTGCATCTTCCTCTGTGCAGGTGCGCTGCATGTTAAACATATGGGGTGTGATGCTCTTCATTCGAATGACATGGATCGTGGGCCAGGCTGGAATTGGTAGGTTTGACTTTGGTCGGCGGTGTGAATTAGCACTTCAATTCACAAGCAAACTCCTGTGTTTTCCATCGAGCTGCAGTCATCTGTCATGCACATGCTGAATGTGGCTGTGAGGTGCTGAGTTGCCCCGCACAGGAGAACACTGATGAAGCCGGACTCATATTTAGTGCGGTCTCTGAAGAACCGTGAGTCGGCACAGATGTTCACTGTCATTTCTTTTATTTACACAGCATACTCCTGCGTCATTGTTATAATGGCAACGGTGGTGACGACCATCACAGGCTGCTCGACGTCTGCCATCGCAACCAACGGCTTTGTACGAGGAGGTAATCTATAAAAGATGAAATGTGCATTCACACTGCATCTATGTAAATGATAATACTTGTCATAACACAGGGACCCTTTGAGTGGTCTTTGTTTGGATAAAGTTATTCACCATGTGATAAATGGTCATTTGTTTTGTGTGTGTGTGTGTGTGTGTGTGGTCATTTGTTGTCTGTATATATAATCAAATACCCACTTCAAACAGGAACACATCTAATCAATCATGACACAATGTGAATTTAATGCAGATATTTCTGTAAAGCTGCACGACTCTGGTTAAAGGGATAGTGTACTTTGAAATTAATTAATTTTTTTAATATGTTTTAGCTTACCTCAAGGGCATCCAAAGATGTAGGTGTCTTTATTTCCACAGTATTTTCATATTTTGATATTTTTAGGTCAAACCGTTCTTGTCTTTCAGTCATATAATGGAGGTTTATGGGGTCCACCCTGGGTTCACCTTAAAGGATTAGTTCACTTTTGAAAAAACTTTTGCTGATAATTTACTCACCCCCATGTCATCCAAGATGTCCATGTCTTTCTTTCCTCAGTCGAAAAGAAATTTAGGTTTTTGATGAAAACATTCCAGGATTTTTCTCCATATAATGGACTTCAATGGGAACCGGATGGTTCAAGGTCCAAAAGACAGTTAATAACTGTTTCAGATGCAGCTTCAAATGTCTTTAAACGATATCAGACGACGAATAAGGGTCTTATCATGCGAAACGATTGGTTATTTCAAAACTTATTCCAAAAATGTAACTTTTCTAAGGACAAATGCTAGCCTTGCTCTATTCTGTGAGGCGCGTTTGCAATGTCACGTATTACGTAATTACGTTCAAAAGGTCACGGGCGACGTAGCCGAAAGTACTTCATCATCACTATCGGCTAACGCTCATGAATTGCGAACGACCCATCATAACGCATAGTCGGACAGGAATAACGGACACAAGGAATAACACAAGCCAGTCCGTCAACGAGAGACAGGTATGCCGACGAGCCCAAATAATCCAAAAGTAGCCTTCTCTAAATGGTATTGCTTATGTTAAGTTTTCATTTCCGTCCGTCATGTCCATGCACAATATGTTGCGATCATCCATCCTCTAAAGAACAATCCAGATACAATTTCTCAGTGTTATTTATTTGTTAATTTTAGCATCAGTGAGCAGCAGCACGACATTCATCTCAAGGAAGAAACACAAGTTGAGTCAAAACGAAAGTCCCCATTTGTTCACACATGCGCACAATGAACTCTTGCACATTTTTAGTAACAGTAAATAACATAAAGTAAAAACAAAATAACAGTAAGAAACATAAAATAATATAGTTAATGAGAACATATAACTCAACAGGTTAACAAACTTAATTTAATTTTGCCCAGTTGTCATATCAAAAGTTCCAAAACATCTATTGTGTTATTTGTATTGATCCACTATATAAACATAATATCTACATACATGGCATTTGATTGGAGGCTAGTCTCACTTTGTCCCACAGCAACATTTTTTTTAGATGTGTGTACAATGTTGCATTGTATTGTATTAAGTGTCCATTTCATTATAAAATTCAGATTTTTCATAAATAATTGAAATTGCACATGTGTTTTAAGTTCCGTTAAATAGGGGTAGAGGTGGGGTCACATTTGAGCATTTAAAATTTAATTTTACTTGAAAGTAACGCAATACTTTTTAAAATTAGTAATTGAGTTACTAATTTAGTGACTTTTTGGAAGGAGTAACTGTAACTAATTACTTTTTAAAAGTAACTTGCCCAACACTGCCTAAGACACGAAACGAGCGTTTCATGTAAGAAAACAAACAGTATTTATATCGTTTTTACCTCTTGTAATCACAGTCACGTCCAAGTACTCTGAGGGCGAGGGTGCTTCTATCTGCGCCGGCAAAACCCGGAAGTGATCTCTCGCGCGTGTACGTCACTCATTGTTTACACAGAGGTTTTAGAAGTGTTATCCTTCACTGTAAAGATCTAAACATATTTGGATATACAGGAAATTGCAATGGAAGACGATTTCGATATATCAACAGACAACGTTGATTTTTTTTTTTTTTTTTTTTTTTTTTTTCCACAATCGCGCAAGAGATCACTTCCGGCGCTTTCCGGAACTTGCGCAGACCGAAACGCCCGTGGTTTCAGATCACTTGTAGGTGGCATATAAATACTGTTTGTTTTCTCACACAAACGGCTCGTTTCATGTCTTAGGCCATCAATGTGTACTTACATTCACAAGTCATTAAATCATGTTTAATTTGGACTTCTCTGTGCATGCTCTTTGAGGTGAACCTAGGGTGGACCCCATAAACCTCCATCATATGACTGACAGACAAGAACGGTTTGACCTAAAAATATCAAAATTGAAAATACCGTGAAAACAGACACCTACATCTTGGATGCCCTTGAGGTTAGCTAAAACATATCATACATTCATTTCAAAGTGAACTATCCCTTTAAACTGAGAATCACAGTTTAGTTTCAACCAGGGGTCACAATTGTCCCACGAGTCTGAACAGATAACTAAACAAAATTAACATGTAACCGACTAGAGGTTTACTAATCTTTTGCACATACTAGGGGTGTCACGATTTCGATATTAAATCGAAATCGATCGAAATTAATTCAATGGTATCGAAATCGAAATAAAAAATGGTATCGTCGATACTGCCACGCCCCATGTCGCGTCCGTGATGGAAAGTTCGGATCGTTTTACTGACTCTATTGTGCAATCTCGTTCATCAAAAGTAACTAAACTTTTTTTCTAGTCATTTCAGGGGCTTTAAATGTTATACTATTAACATGCAAATTCCCCGAACATTAAGAAGATGTACATATTGAATGCAGTGAAAAATAATTTACAGAGAACATTTACCTTCCGAGTTTTTTGTTCATTTGTCGCGTTACAGAGGCAATGAACAGATCGTTTATGATGAATGACTCATTCATGATGAACGACTCATCACAGTGCGGAAAACAAAACACCTGTTGAAAGGCTGCGAGTCCTCTAACTGACACATATGGCAACTGCAGATATAGAAGACCCATCAACGGAACTTGCGCGTCCGCGCCGCGTCGAGATAAAAACATCTCAACTTTTCAGAATACCGCAAGCGCACCATACGCACACAATAGGTCATGTGACAAGAACCAACTGAAGCGCAACCGCCCTGGCGCTATGCAAAATGAAGAATGCGGCGCGCCCAGCGTTTTCTACGCGTTTTTAGGCGCTATATGTGAATCCGGCACAACTATGGTGATACCCTGATTGTACAACAATGTAAAGGAGAAAGTTATTGAAGGTCTGAGAAGTGCACATTTAGTGGCCTTGACTACAGATTGCTGGACCTCCAGAGCAACACAGAGCTTCATGACTGTCACAGCACATTATACTGGGAAATGGTAGTGGAATGGAAGTTGGACAGACAAAATGTAACCATCCCTGTGACAACTGATAATAGCAGCTCTAAACAAAACAACATATCCCTCTTTAGGAAGAACATAAAATAATGAAAAATACAGTCATCATTCTCAGGGGATAAAAAGTAGTTATTTGTGTAGTATATGTTTTTTTTATAACAGAATATAACTGTTCGGAAATAGTTTAAGATGCTTAATTATTCAGAGAAGACTAGTGTGGAGTCTATGGACATTGCTGTTTTATTGCTTTTGTTTGTTTTGTTGTGATTGTGAACATAAAGGTCATCTTCTGAGAAGACTGCAGTTACAAAAGCAAAGTAACCTGCCATTTAGTTTCTCTTAAGTTTCCAATTGACTTAATAAAGTTATTGTTACATTTATGATGTTACTTGTTTTTGTTATATTTTAAATTTGGCAATGGTGTAGTGTACATTGTGAACAAATTTATATTGCATAATGCATAAATGTGTAGTCTAAAAATTGCATAGCAATCTGCGCTTTACATTTTTTTTTAAATCGAGAATCGAATCGAATCGTGAACTTAGAATCGATAACTTAATCGAATCGAGGATTTGGAGAATCGTGACACCCCTAGCACATACACATATGGACATTAAGCTGATCTTCAGACAGATGAGTCCTCTTTGCACTCAACATAAAGTATGTCATGGAAAAGAGGAGGCTTTTAGACTTTTGCTGTGTTTTGTCATTTTGTTCTTTGGGTACTGGAGTAGTGTTCAATAAGAGATGGTTATTATGATTGTAACATGGTTGATTCGTAACCTGCAGCTTTTTATATTGTTTTAAATGTTTTTGTATGACTTTATAACACGCAACTGGGAGATATAAAGTCAGAATTGCCTGATATAAAGTCACAATTGTTGAACTGAAGAACTTACTAAAATGTAAATTTATTCAGAAGATAATTGTGACTTTCATGTAAACTCGCAATTGTGAGATGAAAGTCACAATTATCTTTTTAAATGTTTTATTCTATGGTGGAAACGAGTAGGTGGACCCTCATTAGTGTAGCCGGAGAGCAGCCGGACTATGACGGGTCAATGTACATTCCCAAGCCCTGAGTTTAACGTCCTTATTTGCATTTTTAATATTTCATAACCCAGCTTCTAAGCTAGCTGTGTTCAGAAGGACAGTAACCCGGGGTCAGTGCAGTGGGAATGCCCTGTGTATTGCCCCTGAAGTCTTCAAAACTGAGGTGTTTTTTTTGGGATGCATAGTCTTTTTTTTAACTCTAATAGTCTCTTTTATCTAATTATTCCCACTAAGGTGTGTTCTGGTCTGAGTGCATGAGTGTGATGACGCATCTAACCACTCTGGCATTAGCTCCCGACAGATAAAGGTGCGCGGCGTTACGCTTCTAGTTCTCACAGCTTGAGGGGAAATTCAATAGTGTTTGGAGATCTGTGTGTTTCTCTCAGGTGATGGAGCAGTTCACTAGCAGTCTGGAGTCAGAAATGGATAGTTGACCCACTCTTCAGGCCTCTGTCTGTTAGACAGGGGTGAAGGCACTAGATATCATTTTTGTTTCAGTGTGGAAGCGAAATCAATATTTTCCATGAGCTCCTTGGGCATTAGTTATGACCCCAGTCATGGGAGGGTGTGTATTTGTAGGATTTGGTTTGTTTGAGATGCTCATAGATATTTAGCTGTCGCTGCAGGTCTTTTCCAGATAATTTACATTTTCCCACACTCACAGGACATTATATTTACTACTTGACACGTTTCCTTTTTCAGCATTGCATGCAGGTTTTTAATAGTGTGTTTGAATGTGCTAATGCTTCGTCACTGCGTTAATCTGAGATTAGGCCTAATCGTCCCTGGTATTCCAGTAATTTATTAAACATTAAGGGCTCTGATTTGCTTATTTGTATGCTCTATGGCCACGCTTCACTGGAGCTTTATGAGGAGAGGGAAGAGTCCAGAGAGTCGAAGGAGAGCAAACTGAACACAGCATCTACCATTAGTGAAATTATTTAATAAAGTCGTTTAATTGCACACACCTCATAACCGCATTACTATTTTACTCACACATCAGCTTCCTCCCCAAACAGGTTGTTTAGCTAGCTAGTTCTACATATGGCTGGGCTATAACGTTAGAATAGCTACAATTCTCAAGCGCATATCGTCAGTAAAGACAGTTCCCTGATTATTTGTAAATACTACTAGTCAATCGGCTTCTCACCTGTCAAGCAGAAAAAATGCCACAGCCACATCTGTTGGTTGTAGAATGGGACACGCACCGTTTGATTGACGCATTTTATGTCCAATGATTCTAGATTGTTCTCGAAAATGATTGGCTGGAGTCCTGCCCGTTCCACGGATGATCAAATTGCTTAATTTTCATTTCAGTGCTTCTAATTTACAGCCAGTAAGTGGGTTACGAATAGGATTTCAAGTGATTTTGAAAAAAATGGCCAAAAAAGAAAATCAAAATGATGACGTGATGTGAAGATATGGGGATATCTTCCCCAAGCCCAGTCGAGACTCAGCCTTTTCTATTCGCCTCTCAGTGCTTAAGCTCTTTTGCATCTTTACAATCTGTGATTATCAGCTAGTTCCGATCAGTGTTCGATCCTTTAGAGTTGTACATTGTACATTATTTAAGGATGTTTTCTATTCATTAAAATATTGATAGGAAGTGCTGTTGTCAAGTAAGTTTCATTCAAATAGTGTGTCCCCCATTGCAAGCCTGTGCACGCTCTAAACTTTTCGGATGCCGCACTGCTTTTTTTTTTTTCCAAAAGAGATCAAAAGAAAAATCTTTAGACTTGGTTTTAATATTGCCAAGTTTAAGCATAGCTGAGAGTACAGCACTGTTGTTGGTAACTGAACACAGTATGATCCACAGGGGTACGTGCTGATCCTTCAGGCACACACACTGGGGTCTATCCTTCAGTGTACACACACACTGAGGCCGATCCTTCAGGCGCGCACACGCTGGGGCCGATCCTTCAGGCGCGCACACACTGGGGCAGATCCTTCAGGCACACCCACACACACTGGGGCCGATCCTTCAGGCCCACACTTACACTGGGGCCGATCCTTCAGGTGCACACACACACTGGGGCCCATCCTTCAGGCGCACACACGCTGGGGCCGATCCTTCAGGCACGCACACACTGTGGCCGATCCTTCAGTGTACACACACACTGGGGCCGATCCTTCAGGCGCGCACACACACTGGGGCCGATCAGCCCCTGTCTATGGATCAGCCAACGTGCGTCATCAAGTTGGGGCGTGTCCACGAGCTCTTGGGCTCCAGTGCGTCATCGAGCCCTGTTTTAGCCCCGCCCAAAAAATCCGTAAAATAACAAGGGTGAAAAACTGTTTAACGGTCTAACTCCGTATTTCAGAACGTCACAGTTCACAGTCTTTGTAATATGTTTTAGCAATACATTTGTAACATATATAATGTGTTTAGATTTTTTTTGTTGAATTACCTTTACAGGGACTTTAATGATTTAAGATTTGTAAAAGTCTATAGCATTTGTCAGTCAAATTATGCTGGATAAAATAATATAAAATAAATAATTAAATGTGTGAGTAAGCAATATCCCTTAGAAAACATGTGGGTCCTCGCACTGAACTTGATGATCTTCATAAAATGCAAATGTTTGTTCATCAGAGGCGGGGAACTCGAGTCACATGACTTTACTCAAGTCCCAAACTTAAGGCCTTGACTCGCTTGACTAAATGAAAATGTCTTGACTTTACTTTGACTTGAGATCCTATGATTCGAGAATGACTGACCATTACAACTAAAGTAATTAAGTCATTTTTTATATATATATAATTCATCGCAACATCAATACAGACTGTTTCGAAAAATTGTTGGTTTGATTTTCACAATATTTTTTAAAAGTCTCTTAAAGGGTTAGTTCACCCAAAAATGAAAATTAAGTCATTAATTACTCACCCCCATGCTGTTCCAACCCCGTAAGACCTTCGTTCATCTTCGGAACACAAATAAAGATATTTTTGATTGAATCTGAGAGCTGGATCAGTCCTAGATAGACTGCCTAAGGGACTGGCTCTTGACGGCCCATAAAGTCATTAAAGAAAAGGTTTAAATATTCCTTATATTCCAGGTGGCGGTAAAACTCCTAAGCGGTGAGCAGCCGGTAACAAGAAGTAGACGAATGAGAACGTCCTCGTCTCAGTTCTCGCGCATGCGCCCATAAGGAAGTAATGGAATAGTGGAATAAAGTCATTATTCATGTTTTTTTCGCACAAAAAGTAGTCTCGTCGCTTGATAAACCTTTTCTTTAATGACTTTATGGGCCGTCAAGAGCCAGTCCCTTAGGCAGTCTATCTAGGACTGATCCAGCTCTCAGATTCAATCAAAAATATCTTTATTTGTGTTCCGAAGATGAACGAAGGTCTTACGGGGTTGGAACAGCATGAGGGTGAGTAATTAATGACTTAATTTTCATTTTTGGGTGAACTAACCCTTTAACAAATCAACCTTGATGTGTCTTCTGAAAGCTGATCTGTTGTAACATCTGTTCCTCAGGTGGCGCGTATTACCTGATCTCTCGAAGCCTGGGCCCAGAGTTTGGCGGCTCCATCGGCCTGATCTTCGCCTTTGCCAACGCTGTGGCTGTGGCCATGTACGTCGTTGGCTTTGCAGAGACTGTTGTAGAGCTGCTCGCTGTAAGAGACCATTATATTCTCACACATTGCTCATTGATCATTTATTGCTTTAATATGATTGTGCATAGAATGGTAGATAAAATAATCATAATGTGTTTGTGTGTTTAGAGTTCTGGTGCACTCATGTTCGATCAGATTAATGACGTGAGAATCATTGGGACCATTACGGTGATCCTGCTTCTGGGCATCTCAGTGGCCGGCATGGAGTGGGAGGCCAAGGCAGGATGTTTACTGCATATTCAGTTTCTTTGAACATTAGCTAGTTTCTGACCTTACGAATTCATGATTTGTCAACATGATTTTGTTTCATAGGCTCAGATATTCCTCTTGGTCATTTTGGTTACTGCCATTTTCAACTACTTTATTGGGTCCTTCATCCGTGTTGAGTCCAAGGAGAGATTTGGCTTCTTTGGCTATGATAGTAAGTGCGATGGTGGTTCATAGCTGGTTTGTCTTATGGCACACAGACAGCAGGGAGAAAGCAAAGCTTCATGTTTAATGATGACCTGCTATAAAAACATGACAAAATGAATGAAATCTTAAAAGAGAGAAGACACACTTTTAGAGACATGAGAAGTGTAGTATTTCAAATCAACTCTATGGTATTTCATAAACATGTTTTGTGTGGTGAATCACTGCAGAAAGAAGGAAACTAGCAAAATTCAAGAGACACAGAAACTATAATAGCAAGTCTTCTGAGGTTTTGATATAATATAATTCTGTGGTATAATACAAACACATTTTAATTAAATAAATGACCACTTGCAGGCCACTTGATATCCAAATTAAAACTTTGTCTTTAATGTAAACTATTTAAGAAACAATTGTTTGAGATTCTTGACCCAGAGGTACTGGTCATTTTCTTTAATTTTTTTTTTTTTTTTTAATTTTTCATGTGTTGTTTTCTTTCTATTCATCATTGACCTTGTTTTTTTATATAATGTAACTATATAATTATCCGTTCTCTCTTTAGCTGGCATCTTTGCGGATAACTTTGGCCCAGACTTTCGAGGAGAAACGTTTTTCTCTGTTTTTTCCATCTTCTTCCCGGCAGCCACGGGCATTTTGGCTGGTGCCAACATCTCAGGAGATCTAGCAGTGAGTGTTGCCTTTCATTTCCTCACCACGTATATTGTTCCTCACATACACAGTTCCTCACTGCCAAGATCTCTGTAAATGTGTAATCTCTCTAAGGATCCTCAACTGGCCATCCCGAAAGGAACACTTCTGGCTATTCTCATCACGGGCCTCGTGTACATTGGTGTGGCCATTTCTGCAGGTAAATGCTGTTAGATAACATGTCAAATGAAGTAAAACTGTACGAATTGTGTTCTGATTTATTGATTGCTTTGTTGAAAGGTGCTTGCATCGTGAGGGATGCCACAGGCATTGAGAGGAACGATACTTTGACTGGTATTGTAAACTGCACTGATGCGGCCTGTAAGTTCGGCTATGACTTCAATTCCTGCAAACAAATGGTTGAGGGAGGGAAGTCTCCCTGCAAGTTTGGCCTTCACCATGACTTTCAGGTACATTATCAACAGCAGACAGTTTTTCTACATTGTGAGCAGCTTTTAAGGTCTCGCAGTCATACTCCTGATGCAAAGACTCTTCCACATGCTAGACTTTGGCCAAAATGAGGTATCCAGCAACACCCTTATAAAAGGAAGAGAACGTACCATGATTAGCCTCGAGAGTTTTGAGACAGCCTTTACTTTATATTTGTGTGCATCCATCTTGAAGATGTCCAGATCTACTTTATCTTTTGTCCTAGTAATTATCAGTACTTTTATTTTGCCAGCTCTGCGAATGGCAGCGCCTGAGCACAGCAGCCACATTCTCCTCCTTCATTGGTTTACGGCCTCTGTTTAACAGATTTGTTGAAATACGTTACTGCATAGTACTGTTGAACAAAGAATGTAAACTGTATACAAAAGAGTATCATAGCGTTTGCTTTCATATTACAAAAAGCCAAACAGAATGAATACTTTCCGATTTATCATCAGCATATGCAATTTATATAATTCAAACAAATCATTCAATATCTGATAAACATTTAATTTCACAAACCTTGCTGGCTCAGGTTTGTCGAATCGAGATTCTGAAGTCAGTTAATGTTATTGTGTGTGACTGTCAGATCAGCTTCACTGGAGACGCACGGTCGACAAACTTTTAACCCTTGATTTCAAACTGTGCTCGCTATATCCAGTTGCCCACTAGTTAAGTCATCTTTATTTATATAGCATTTTTTTAAAATACAGATTGTATCACTATCATATTGATGACATATTCATGAATTCATATTTCACTGTGCTCTATGTAAAATTAGTGTTAACTTGTATTAAAAAAAAAAATATATATATATATATATATACAGTATATATATGATTCCCTGTGCGCACCAATTTACCAGATTACCGAGTACCCTGTTGATTACAGTGTTTACTTCCTTTTTATTAATATTTTTTCCAAACAATTTCTTTATTCGTGAAAAATACAGTAAAATGATTACAGAATCAAGAAGTTACAATCTCAAGTCAGTCAGTTTAATTTAGAGATGTTTTTTTTAAATCATTTACATACATTTTCAGCCAGATATCAGCATTGGCCTTCAAAAACCACTATCGGCCGACCACTAGTTTAATGACTATTTTGACAACTGATTGTTTAATGCAAGACTGTGTTTTAAATTGCGAAAATAGATCAGTCCATTGACTTGTTCCAATCTGGATATTCTCGATAGTAGCGTAGATCTCAAAATTGGGAAGTTTGCGATTCAGATGGTGATTGATTGTTATAAGATCGTGAAACTTTGGGAAGATTGCCCACCCCAATACATGCTTATTTCAAACTCTACTGGAAGCCCTTGTTCATGTGTGAGCGCTCAGAATCACTTCCATTACAGTAAGGACAGAAATGCATTAGGCTTTGGAACAGAAAGACACTGAAAGGATTGGTGACTGACTGTGTTGTGCTAAAGGTCATGAGTGTGGTGTCGGGCTTCAGTCCGCTCATCACAGCGGGGATCTTCTCTGCGACCCTCTCCTCCGCCCTGGCGTCTCTCGTCAGCGCCCCGAAAGTGTTCCAGGTGGGTGTCGTCTTGAGTTAACAGTAGTGTGTCCGCATGCGTTGAGTGTGTGGTTCCACTCCAGTGCCTGTGTGAGCTCTGTGTGAACTTGTCTTGCTGCTTTGATTTGATTTTTTTCCACTTCCCTCAGGCTTTATGCAAAGACAATATCTATCCTGGAATCGGTGTTTTTGGGAAGGGCTACGGCAAGAACAACGAGCCCTTGCGAGGATATTTACTCACTTTTGGCATTGCCTTGGCCTTCATTCTCATTGGTAGGTGGAAATAAACTAATCAAATTTGTTTTATTCATCACAGATGAGGTCACCTCACTGTTTTTCATTTCTCCAGCGGAGTTGAACGTCATCGCCCCAATCATTTCCAACTTCTTCCTGGCATCATATGCCCTCATCAACTTCTCCGTGTTTCACGCGTCACTGGCCAATTCCCCAGGTAAGACTTTCTTCTTGTACGAGTTGTAAAACTGAACCGGTTGAGTTGTGATGCATTCATGCTGCAGACAAGCTGGGTCATGTCTCCACAGACACCAGAGTGCTCAGATATAATTAGTGTCAGTACGGCACATCTACGCATTCATTCTCTGAAGTGTGAGGAATTTAGATTTTGAATGTTGGGTGCAGTTTTTTTATTATCCTTAAATTTCCATGAATGTGTTAAAGAGCAGAACTAGAAACTGAAAGTTGTGTTATTTCAATAAAGCTTCCGTGAAATTAGGTCCTTTAAGGCCCTGATCTGTTACACAATCACCACAGACCAATGTTAGTTTGTAGGGAAGGTTTCTGGTTTGGCAAGCTGTTCTGAACTACTGAAACAAACTTTGTGTTGGCCAGATTTGGTTTAAAATGATAAATGATAAAATGAACACCAGTTTGTTCTTTGATTTCGCTAGAAGTAAATAATGGCCTTAACATTCAAATATGATGATGTTGATCCACCTCATGAAGTGAAATTTTTCCATTGATATTAGCATATATTTTAAACTCTGTTACTAAATTATTGGGGCATGTCTAAAAAAATTGATTTATGTGATTATCATTACTTGTTAGCAATAAATATGCAATAACCGCATGAATGAAATCCTAGGTAAAATGAGTTTAGCCTTAATTATGAATAATATGACCATATCCAAAAGATTAGCCGTAATTAACTTTAATTCGCAGAAAGGAGTGGTTGAGCTGGATAAATGCAGTAGGGATGTGACGAGACCCGTATCTCAAGAGAAAAGACAATATTTTTGCACAATATTCTATAGAAATCCTCAATCACAAAATTCATGACTTGATTTTAAAATGTTTAAACTAATAATCTTGTAATGAATGCCATTTCCATTCTACTTTTAGTATAAATGATCAAATGCATTGAAAGACAACAATATACAAGCAGTGTAAAAGGTTTTGCCACAAACTCAGCTGACTGGCTTTTCTCCTGTATGATTGAGTCTTTTCAGTCCTTTTCACAAACTGAACATAGAAATAAAAACAGTATGAATATAACAAAAAACAGTTTTTTTTTTTGTTATGGTTGCACTTGCACTAATTGTTTGCACTTAATAAAAGTATTCTCTCAGTCTTCAAAGTGAAAAAGAAGGCCAGAGCCACGACTACATGGTCTTCCCCTCATGTCATGAGTTCACAAAACTTTGCAAAGTAACAACTCCTCTGTAAGGAGAGGTTTTTGTTGAACTGTAGAGGGTGTTATTCAAACCTTTTAATATCTGAATGAAAATGAAAGTCTTTTCTTTTCTGAATGGCATTTTGTAACTGACTGCATTTCTTGTTTTTGAAGTTATAATTTTACACATTTCTTTATTCTTTGTGTAAAGAGGTTTGTTTTTCCCTCAATACCAAAGCTCTAGAAGACCAGCAGGTAGATATCTTCACTTCTGACACTTCATATAGTCTCCGCACACACTTGCATGAACATAAAGGGTACGTGTAGATTTCCCACATGACATTCTCTAGATGTCCCACAGACACCATTTAAATACTTCGGTACCCTTTATGTCATGTTGTTTCTGTAGCATTACAAGGTAATCTTGACTCCACTAAATCCCATTACTCTAGTACATGTTCTGTGTTCAAGAACCCTTGCTACCTGTAGTAACTGTTATGTATCCTAACTGATGCTAACTTCATTTAATCAATTCTGTTCTCATGCTTTTATAAAACTGTGACATTTCAACTGGATTGACTGTGACTGATTTGTGTTGTAAAGACTCTAGAACATTGAGAGGCTTTGACGCCGTTAACAAGCTGGTATGAAGTCTTCTGCTTCTGGACGCTGTTCAGAGAGGTGTCCCCTCCCCACTTCACTAGCAGCTCTCAGTTGTCCTGTCACACTCACCCATGTGCCATTGTTTGTGTCCCATACTGTTACGTAACGTAGCAGAATGGCACAGTTAGCACATTCGGACCACAAAGAACTATTGTTGGTTTTATCCCAACTATTCGTTCCGATATGTTGGCTCCAGTTGATGGTTGTAATAAGGGTACTTTGACCTTTTACCATGTTGCCAAAGCCTAACCCATAGTACCTCAGGCCCGCTGGGTTTAGACTCGAGATTTCTGAGTGTTTGTTCCGTGTTTGTTGGGCAGGATGGAGGCCGAGCTTCAAGTACTACAACATGTGGGCGTCTCTCGCTGGGGCAATCCTATGTTGTGTCGTCATGTTTATCATCAACTGGTGGGCGGCCCTCTTGACCAACGTCATTGTCTTATCTCTCTACATCTACGTCAGCTACAAGAAACCAGGTGAACACACTTGAGCACCAGTCATGTGTTCTCCAGTGCAGACGTTTTCTAACTAATGCCTCCATGGTTCGTAGTTCTAATGATGGCGTTCTGGTTTTGGGAATTTGGCTCTTTATGAAATTGTTGCCTTCCTGCATTTTCTGTAAAGCTTCTTTGAAACGATATGTATTGTGAAAAGCGCTAAAACAAATAAATGTGGATTGAATTACAGATGTGAACTGGGGCTCGTCCACTCAAGCTCTGACCTATCATCAGGCCCTGACACACAGTTTACAGCTGTGCGGAGTAGCGGACCACATCAAGACCTACAGGTAATGGTGTGTGTGTTTCATGCTTGTTATACCTGTAAGTATTAATTGTAAATGTTAACTTTTATTAATAACTTATTTCTATAGTGTTTCAGATTATTTTCCCCCCTTTGGTTTAGTTTCCTACTGAAGGCTTGTTCTGATGATCTTGACTCGTGTATGTGCTGGATTCACTTATCACACTGAATGTATTTGTGGCTGTTGGTGCTTTAAGGCTGGAATAAACTACATGACTTTTCACAAGACCGGTTAAAGAAGCATTGCACTAAACCACACACACCACCAGATTTTAGTATCAGATGTTCTGAGCACAACAAACTTGTGCTGAAACTTGTTTCGTTTCCTAGAGATGCATGATAAATGACAACCAGTTGTTCAAAAATCGTCAATTCAATAAATATCAGACATGTTTAATCTCCAACTAGATGGATTCATAGTGTGAAGTCTATTGATTTTCTGTGAAATCTGTTAACTCTGGCTGCCCAAAATCTGCAGACAGGCTTTGACTTTTAGCATCAGACTGCAAACCGGGGCAAAGTTTGTGTAGTGTATTCCAGCTTTCAGATGCTTTATCCATGTGCTCAAGCTCTAGAGATGATGTTCAAGAAGACGTGGAGCTTATCTGATTTAGTGTACTTTTGTATGTTTATCATTGCTACTTTGTAATGATTATGATTAAAAAGAACTGTTTCTAGAACGGTTCCAAAGGACTTAACCATCCAGATGCCAGCCGTGACCCATCAAAGGGCTTTACACACACTTAACTTGGCTGATACTAGTTTGATTGTAAGTTTAACTCTGAGTGATTACTAAAATCAACTCATAATTATAAATTCTCCCTGTAGTCAATAATTATATCCCTTAAAACTCATCTTTGATCACCAAAATGACATTTAGGTGTTTTTTTCTTCATGTCTTAAAGAGCCCCTGTCATGGATTTTTGAAAATGACTGTTCATATGGTGTGGAATATAGCTCTAGGGGATTGAAAACATCCTGCAAAAATTTATATCTGAAAGTGCACCATATATAAAGTTATTGTCTTTCAAAAGTGAGAGTCGACTCTGAGTCTATGAAATGAATTGTTTTTGAAACGAATCATTAGCTGTTACATCGTGACGTAGATGCATATTGGCCGTGCCCAGTTATTGCGCGCGCAGACGGAAGTGTAAACTTGAAGTCTACACATTCAAATACTTCATCATAGCATCATGTCGAGAAGACGCTGTGTTCTACAATGCAAAGATAGTTCAGCCACTTTGTTTTCATTAACCACCGATTCTTCACATGCTCGTCCCTGGTAAGAGTTCATGTTTGCAACGATACCACAACAGTATACTGCCCTACAAAGCAAAAATGCAGTAACTACGCAGAGTGCAGAACTGAGAATAACTCTGGCTTTTTGCAGTTACTGTACAAACGACTACCATTTTTCTCCAAAATGACACACATTTGAGATAAGATGTTTTGTCACAAAACAAAGGATGCCTTGAATGTCAAGAAAATGATAATAACAACTGTTTGACCAAAAATGCAGTTACTGCTTTGTAGGGCAGTATAGCCTGATTGTGTTCTCATCATTTTAATGACGAATAGTTCAAAAACATAAATGAATTCAAATGTGGATTCGCAAGCGGTTGTTCCTGAAGGAGGGCTCAGTAACTTACTTACCCAGTGTATATGGATCAGCTTCCTCCTATGAATCACAACAAGTATTAGTAATAATTGTTGCTTTTATGGGTTTTGAACGGTTTTGTAGCGTCGGGGCGTGAGGAGGGAAGTACTGTATGTGTGTGTAAGTTACGCTCAGCACAGCTTCTAGGTCTCCAATGTCAATTTTTTTTAAATATGTGAAATGTTTGTCGCTGTTGTTGTTGTCATAAAGAATAGAGCGTCTTGTAGTACTGCAGTGCTTTATCAATATGTTTATGCGTTATGCTAACAAACAATAACTGACTGGGTCTGTCATCTGACCAATCACCGCCGATTAGCGTCACGCAAAGGAGTGGTTTGGAAAAATGAGTCGTTGTACGAATCATTTGGGAGTCGGTGAGCAAATCAGTTAAAAATAAATGCATATTATAAGACAAATAAAGTGTTTTTTTATCCTTGCATGCATGTTAAACTTTTTTTGGGAACTCCTAAAACAAAAATAGGAACATTTCAAATGCTATGATAGGGGCTCTTTAAAATGGCTTGAATGTAACTCAACACCCTTGCCTCATTTAGTATACTATGAATATGCAAATGAGCCCCACCTCCACTCACTCAGCTCAGTGATCCACTCGTTCACACGTTGATCTGATTGGTTACAGTTTTGTGACATCAGAAACACCAGTGAATTCTTAGTCTTTGGTTCACTGCAGTTTTAAGGAGAAAATACTCAGCAATCCTGTCGACTTATGAATTTACACATGGTTTGTCTTAAAGCATATTAAAAACACCACATAGACTCATAAACAACATTAAATGCTGGATTTTCACCACAGGGGGACTTTAATAATTTTCTATCCCCTAAACCAAGTCATCATACATTTTATTTTATATGGACTCAAAAGAAAAGCCACAAGGTAAATGACAAAACACTGTTTATTGCTGTACATAACATTTGTAAAAATGTAATGCACATATAACAAATTATTAATTTAAAGGAGCTGAATGTAAGATTGTGGCCAAAACTGGTACTGCAATCACTTTCAAATCACTGTAGAGCGGTGTATCCCCCTCCCCCCTGACTCGAGGTTGCCAGATATGCTGCTGGATCCAAGCTTTTTTTTTTTTATCGGACACATTTGTATCTGCAGCTGTGGTAACTACAGCAGAGCTGACAACCCGGATGCCGCAACACTACTGACTTTGTGATTGGTAGATCGGGGGAGGGTGGCGCATCATACTAAAACTCAACATGACGACATCAACATCAGTTAAGGCCGCAACTTCACTTTTTAAATGACAATATCCTGGCTGGACTTCTGTTTTCAGTGAAATGAACTTGAACTTGATATAAGTATCTGAAATGAACATGATTTCCTAATGTCTAGTGACATATCGAGGCCATTTTATGATTATTTGAAAAATTTCTTACATACAGCACCTTTAACATATTTAGCTGAAAATTGTCAGCATGACAGTATGGAGTATGGATAGTAATAAGTGCCAAAAACAAAACCTCTACATACTGAAATGGAGATTGCAATTATTTCTGTTGATCCTCCATATCAAATGTTGAAAATCAAAGTAATCCTGCACCATGACCAATGTAACGAAGCTTTGAACCAAGGAAATAATACATGTTTAGATGTTTAATTCGAAGTATATGTTATTGATAATTTATTTGGTAACACTTTACAATAAGGTACATTTATTAAACATTAGTTAATGTATTAACTAACATGAACTAACCATGAGCAATACATTTGTTACTGTACTTGTTAATCTTTATTAACATTAGTTAATACAAATCCAGCTGTTCATTGTTTGTTCATGTTAGTTCACAGTGCATTAACTAATGTTAACAAGATTTTAAAAAAGTACTAGTAAATGCTGAAATTAACATTAACAAAGATTAACAAATGCTGAAGAAGTATAATTCATTCTTAGTTAATGTTAACTAATGAATCTTATTGTAAAGTGTTACCATTTATTCTAACGGGGCTTTTTTGGTTTTACTTTACCACTAAACACTGACTATCCCATTAACTATCAAACATGTACTAACATGTAGTTAAGGCGACTGTTATTTATCAATCTGACTCCAGGCAAAGTCAAGGTTAGAGCCTCAATCGTCGCTTGACTAGTTCAAGTTTGAAAATTTTGCCATTGATTGTTAAAAAGAAGTGTATAATTTTCTTGAAATGCAATCAAAATATGTGACTAACACATGCATAAAAAATCATAATGGACTTGATTGAGGAAAAAATAGATGTAATAGTGTTTTGTTAGATGGAGTGCCCTAGATTGACTGATCCTCAGTGTAATGTGTTCTGTGCGGTGTGTGTATGTGCTCTGACTGAATCACATGTTGAGTGCAGAGGAAGAGCCGCTAGATCCTCCAGGGTCAGAGATTACTGGTTTTCTGACAGTACCTTCAAATCAAACGTTTTACCCTCGGCATAATCCTGTTTTATTCTTAACATTTTTGCTTTGAAGCTTCTAATCTGAGCTGTGTGTTCTGCTCTCGCCTGGGCCGCTGACCCTGGAGGTCATGAGAACGTAACGCACGGCACACTATGTGCTGCTTTTGCTGATGTCGCAGTTTATGGCGCTTTGTACATTGGCGTTCATTAAAGTGTATGGCCTGCGGATCTTCTGGTGTGTGATGTGCAGGTGACGTGTGTGGTGTGTGTGTGTGTGTGTCTCTTCTAGGCCTCAGTGTCTGGTGATGACTGGAGCACCGAACTCACGACCAGCCATTCTTCATCTTGTTCATGCCTTCACCAAGAATGTGGGTCTGATGGTGTGCGGTCATGTGCGCATCGTGAGTAGCTTCTGTAATTCCTGATGTCTGTCAATATGTGGAGAATGTATGTATGTGTTGTTTTAGGAGCGAGTAGACTGTTGTGCGATCTGTTTTTGACTGTGCTAATTGAAACATGTTCTCTGTGTAATAAAACTTCCCTGAACTCAGTGGGGACAGTGATTTATAGTTGTTAAAAATAAACCGATCTCTTTTAGGGGTCTGTATGGACCATGCTAATCAAGAGTACATGCTAATCAAGAGTACTTTATCTGGAAAGCTTCGATGAGATCATTTTACAAAACACATTCCTGGAATCGAAATCGCACAGGTTGGCTGAAGCCAGAAACCAGGCTGGTTACTCCTTGTTTTTGGATTTCATGACAATGACATCACTGTTTCCTGAAGAGCTGTTTTATTCATGAATTGAACTCATTTCATAATTGATGATCTATACACAGTTAATTAACTGAACTGAATCAACACTGGACTGACAATGACACTATTGTCTTTTAGAGCTGCTTTACAGCAGAACTGAACTCTGTTCGCATCATTAGGGCCCGAGCACCGATGGTGTGAGGACCCTCTTGGAATTGCTCCGTTTATTAGGGCCCCAGCCTTGAAAAGAGCGAAGGCCCTATTGTTTTCCATAGGATACATTTATTTTTTTATTTTTCTAATGACTATTCGGGCACTTTTGGGGCCCTTAACATGCTCAAACTCTTGAAACTTTGCACACAGTACCCGGGCGTGGCAGGGGGGCTCGACAGTGCCCCCTGGAACGGGGTTCGAAAACTTGGTCAATAAATCAAACACGTTTGCATGTAATATGGAACTCGGTACATGTATAGATCTCATCAGTTCAATATATCCTTTATATTCTTACTTTTTACCCTAGTCCAACAGGAAGTCGGATATTAAGGGCTGTTTGGAAAACGCATGTAATGGAATTTAAAGTACTCCTAGAGAATTCATCCAAATACCACAAAACTCAGTCAGCGTGAAGTCAAGACATTGAGGATGAAAAATTGATATCTCGATATACTGTGGCAAGGATACAAAATTAGCTGAATTATATAGCATGCTATTATCATCATAATAAAGGGCAATTTTGTAAGTGACTTAGACATTCTTCCTATATTTACCTACTTAACTGCACATTTCCCACCATGCTGTGTCTTCCTAAACCACTGGGTGGCGGTGGAACGGGTCTGAGAGCCCTTTCATCGCTGCTTGAAGCTTTAATTGATCATTATTCTCCTCTTTCTCATTGTGAAGCTGCTTTGCAACACTCTGTATTGTAGTATATAAATAAAGGTTACTTGACTTGATGTTCCTGTGGCATCACTTCAACTGGTCTCTTTCGTGTCGTTTCTGTGTTTTTAGAGTTCTCGGCGGCCCAACTTTAAAGAGTTGAACAGTGATATGGTGCGCTACCAGCGGTGGCTCCTCAACAACAACTCCAAAGCCTTCTACACACCTGTGGTGGCTGAAGACCTACGGCAAGGCACACAGTACCTGCTGCAGGTGTGTGTGCTTAATTCTGAGGGGTTTTTATAGCCCTATTCACAAGATTTGTTTAATACTTGCTTTTAGGATCTTGTTCACTGGTTAGTTTAGATTTTTTAGATTGTCAATCCTTACAAAGTTACTGCATTTTTAACTTTCATTGGTCAAAAGCTCATTTGGCCTAAAATCCCTTGGCCTGATTGGTCTATGCTCAGCGCTGTGTTCATGTGACCCTGTAATCTACTCACAGCTGACTTCTGTGCTTTCACCGGTTTTAAGATATTTACTTCTGCTGTGTGTGTGTGTGTGTGTTTTCCAGGCTGCTGGACTGGGTAGATTGAGGCCCAACACTCTGGTGCTTGGTTTCAAAAACGACTGGCGTATTGGAGATGTAAAGGATGTTGAGACCTACATAAACCTAATACAGTGGGTTTCATCTTCTGTTTCAAATCAATCCACTATGAATAATTATCCTCTTGAATTAGTGTGTCATCAGTTTTTACTATGCTAGTAGGTGGTTTGTTTTCCTGAACTCTGGTTATGTCCCAGAGTCATCCATGTAACATGAGTTTCTTGAGTTTGTTTTTGCCGGGGCAGCAGTGGCGTCAGAGACACTCTGTGCAGACATGCTTGTACATCATCTACAGTGTTTCATTTGTAAATTAATAATCGTATATTATTAAAAGGCGCGGTGACGACACTGACCCATACAACTTATGTTCCCTATCGGTCAGTCACTACAACGTAGGTCATGACTGACCAATAGGAATCTCGCTAGAGAGCCAATTTACTTCGAGTGAATCTAAAACAAGCCAATGCACATTGGTGTGCAATCATTTGCATCAGCTGCGCAGCCTCTTTAGCACGGGTATATAACAAGCAGCTGCTGCAATTGCACTTCAGCTTTTTGCTTTGGAGCCATGCGATGATCCCTGCGATGATCAGATGTCAATCTACATCGGAGAGTGGGTCAGATTTCTCTGCAGATGACGTCTTGGAGCCGCTCCCTCCTTCCTCCTTCAGGTGTGTCAGCGGTGCCCGAGAAGGACCTGGAGATGATGACCATGCTTTCCCGGGCCGCCAACAGGGTCGGGCTCGTTTGGAACCCTCCGCCGTGTCCCGAACCCACGAGGCTGGATGATGATCTCATGGTAGCGCGTGCTGGTTTCTCAGCCACCCACCCCAGTGCCCTTCTTCCCGGAAGTGCATGAGGAGCTCACGGGGACATGGACGGCACCATTTACTTTTTACTAAGGCCTGTGGGGAAGCTGCCTCTGCCATGCACACTATGGCATTGCTGCAGGTCCATCAGGCCAAGGCACTGATGGAGCTGTACGAGGGTGGTAACGATCCACAAGTTCTCCATGCCGCAACGGACCTCGCGCTTTGTGCAATGAAGGTTTCCGCCCGGTCGGTGGGTTGTGCGATGTCTACACCAATGGTCCAGGAATGCTATCTCTGGCTGTGTCTGGCCGACATTAGGGAGACCAACAAGCTCCGGTTTCTTAACTCCCCCGTGTCCCAGACCAGCCTCTTTGGCGACGCGGTCGATAACTTTTCCCAGCAGTTCTCGGCTGTATAGAAGCGGTCAGTTGCTGCCTCCGCCCGCGGCTCCTCAGTCTGCTCGTTGCCGGGGGTGTCCTCCTGCTTCTGCCCTTGCTCCTGCGCCGCAGCAACAGCCTCCACCTAAACAGCGCCGTAGAGCCAGTCACAGGCAGGCCACCCCGCCCGTCCAGGCCCACGCCAAGAAGGGCAGCAAAGCCAGAGGTAAGTGGCCCCAGGTAGTTTGGATGGAACTGCTCTCTAGGAGACGGTGGCCTCACCGCTCCCTTCCCCGGAAGAGGGCTGGGAGGGAAAATTTTCTGTTCCGCCGCTGGCCTCAACCAATGGTGAAAGAGCGGTTTCTACCATCTCTGGGTCCAAAGAGCACTCAGAGCAGTGGCGGGACAAAATCCTTACCACTCTCATCCTCCTCTTCTGTCGCCAGTCGGCAGCAGTGTACGGTCCGAGAACGCCACCTCCTGCTCAGGCACCTCAGCCAGTTGAGTCTTCAGGTCAACTGGGAAAAGAGCAAACTCGCCCCCGTGCAGAGGATCTCTTTTCTCGGTATGGAGTTGGATTCGGTCGCAAAGACAAGCGCGCCTCACAGAGCAGCGCGCTCAGTCGGTGCTGAACTGTTTGAACAGATTCAAAGGCAGGACGGCCGTCCCAAAGAAATTTTTTCAGAGGCTCCTGGGGCAAATGGCAGCAGCAGCAGTGGTAACCCCGCTCAGCTTGCTTCATATGAGACAGCGTCAGCCCCTGCTTCACGGCCAAGTCCCGAGATGGGCGTTGCATCACGGCACTCACCGGGTGGCAATCACACCGGCCTGCCGTCAGACCTTCAGCTTGTGGTCCGATCCCTCATTCCTTCGGGCAGGAGTCCCCTTTGAACAGGTATTCAGGCATGCTGTGGTGTTCACAGATGCCTCAGCCACCGGCTGGGGTGCCACATGCAACGGGCATGCAGTATCAGGGGTGTGGACGGACCCTCATCTCAAGTTGCTGGCAGTACATCTAACTCTGCACCTGTTTGCCTCCTCAGAGACCTCCCACTGCCAGCTGTTTTACTCCCTGACCGAGGGAATACTCGGCACAGACGCACAGGCACACAGCTGGCCCTGGGTCCTTCGCAAATATGCTTTTCCCCTAATGAGCCTACTTGCGCAGACACTGTGCAAAGTTAGGGAGGACACTGGGACTTGGTTCCCAGAACTCATGCTCCTTGTGACAGTCCCTTTCTGGCCCATTCCTCTGAGGAAGGATCTTCTGACTCGGGCACACTATGGCACCCGCTTCCAGACCTCTGGAAACTCCATGTCTGGTCCCTGGACGGTTCTAGGTGTCTTAACCACAGAGGAACTTAACACCATCACTTCAGCACAGGCGCCGTCCATGAGACATGTCTATGCCCTGAAGTGAAACCTGTTTGTTGAGTGGTGTTCTTCTCGCCAGGATGACCCCCGGAGATGTTCAATAGAGTCTGCGCTTTCCTTCTTGCAGCATGGGTTGGAGCGAAAACTGTCTTCCTCCATCCTCAAAGTTCATGCTGCCGCTATTTCAGCTTATCACGACCATATTGATGGCAAAACAGTTGGAAAGCATGACCTGGTCGTCAGGTTTCTTAGGGGGGTGAGACTATTAAATCCTCCTCAGCAGAACTCAAAGCATCAGGACCAGCTCTTTGCCTGTTACGGAGGCCAGCAGAAGGGAAGGCTGTCTCCAAGCAGAGGATGGCCCACTGGATAGTGGAAGCCATTGCCTTGGCTTACCAAGGTCAAGGTGTGCCCTGCCTGCTCAGGTTGCATGCACACTCCATGAGAGGTGTCGCATCCTCCAGGGCGTTGACTCGTGGCGCCTCGATAACAGATATCTGTAGAGCTGTGGGCTGGGCGACACCTAACACGTTCACTAGATACTATAGCCTTCGTGTAGAGACGGTCTCCTCCCGTGTTCTCACCCTAAACGGGTAGAAGCACTGAGAGGCCCGTCTCTGTCGGCTTGCTGCACCCCACTGTGCATCCCTATTCTGTGAAAAACCTGTTGAGTCCTCAAACCCCTCAGCCAGGCCCCTGTCCGCTGAATCCTTGAAAGACCAGGGCTGGGTTCCATATGTGTGACCCTACTGGGATCCCATATGTGTATGTATTCCACGGTTGCTCCTAAGACGGAAGCCTGTGTCTTTCCCTTAGGCTAAGTCACCCATTATTTCAAATGGACTAACCCGAAGGCTGTACTGCATATGTATTTCCACATAACTCTTTGAAGAATGTGGCTTCTGCAGCGTTCCCCTCCCTCAGAAAAGGGCACGCTTTCCCAGTATTATCCAAGGTCTCACTGTATGGGTTATCACGGAACAACAGTGTCAGACACTCCCCGTGTAACCCTCCTCCTATCGTCTTTCCAGGTAAGAAGGTGCGGATGCTTGCATGGGGTGCTGGAAGGGGTGCAGCGGCTGTGGCGCTTTGGTAGGGATTCCTATTGGTCAGTCATGACCTATGTTGTAGTGACTGACCGATAGGGAATGTCTTGGTTACGTATGGTAACCCTCGTTCCCTGAGGGAGGGAACGGAGGCATATATCCCGTTGCCATATCTGTTGCTGCCTGCCGGGAGGCCAGCTTTCTCAGGATTGGCTCCTCAGCAAAAAACAGAAGTGCAATTGCAGCAGCTGCTTGTTATATACCCGTGCTAACAAGGCTGTGCAGCTGATGCAAATGATTGCACACCAATGTGCATTGGCTTGTTTTAGATTCACTCGAAGTTAGTCAGTCATGACCTACATCTCCGTTCCCTCCCTCAGGGAACGAGGGTTACCATATGTAACAGAGACTTTTTCCCAGAACACACACAGAATGACACACAACATCACAAGTTTCTGCACAGCCTTGACTACAGCTGAGTGTGTATCTGTCATGTGATTTTTATAAATACATTGAGGCCAATAATTATACAGTTGATCAGTGATATTTTCTCACCGGTAATGTGGACTTCTGAATGTGAGTGATCTGACTCATGTCTCTGCTATCCTCATTGGTGTTAGCAGTTCTATCGGGATCTCTCTTGATCAGAAACACCATCAGCTTTAATCGTGGATATGGAAAAGGAATATATGCTTGACTGTCTTTTTGACATTTGGTGATATTAACTTATTATCAATGGGTATCTACACTCTCTTGAACTTGAGAAAGCTGGTCAAGAATACAGATGGTGAGGGCGAATAGCTAAACATAACCTCCAAAATAAATATTAAATTAACTTGCTGTGTCTCACACACACCATTGAATGCACTTCTTTATGCCTGATTATTTAAAAACAAATGTGGAAACGCAAAAATCCACAATAACGGACCAGCTGAAGTTAAGCACTGGTTGTCCAAACAAAGTAGTTCCTTCAGGTAGAGGACTCAGGGGGAGCACTCAGTGTTTTCTGACATTGTTTTTCATAAATATGCCCCATTCTCTTCAAGTGGATCTACCTGATGAACGTCAAGTGGATGTTTATGAGCAAACACAGCTTTGATATAAATGGTTTGGTTCTTCCTCCTGTGAGACATTAACTCTTGTTTGTTTGTGTGTGTGTGTGTGTGTGTGTGTGTGTGTGTGTGTGTGTGTGTGTGTAGCGATGCGTTTGATTTTCAGTACGGTGTTGTCATTCTCAGACTGCGAGAGGGACTCGATATTTCTCACATTCAAGGCCAAGGTAAAGTGCTGTACATCTATTACTACATTATCCAGTCACTTCTTCAAACAAGCACATTATCAGGTGCCTCTGCTTAGTGCTGTTGTTCTTGTCAGTTAGCTTCAGGAGAACCAGGCATCAGCGGTTCACTAGCTGTGAACTACACAAGTATGATATTGATTCTGTTCATATGAGAGCAGGAAAGTGAAGGAAAGTGCTTAAAGTCTTTGAAACATCTAGATGGACAGCATGATGTTCGTAGCTGGGCATGCGTGATTCTAGACATTAAGTGTTTGTGCAGATGAAATTGTCCATGTAATGAGGTAATTTTCCGATAACTTGGCATCCACGCTAAATTTGTATTTGCCTTGACCTCAAAGCTGAACTTTGCATTGTCTCTAAAGATGAATCTTCAGGTCTGAAGGATGTGGTGGTTTCGGTTGACATGAGTAAAGACTCGGATGGAGACTCGTCTAAACCCTCCTCCAAGGCCACCAGTGTCCAGAACAGCCCAGCCGTGCAGAAAGGTCAGCACACCTCACATCTCTGTGTGTTCACGGAGAAGCACTTCACACTTGTTCTTCAGAGTTATACGTATCCTTTAAATAATCTTCTGTTCTTGGAGAAAATATTGAAAGCAAAACCTCAGATGAGAGTATTTCCCAGGAGTTTGGTGAAATGTTCCTCTTAAGCAGTGGTTGCTAAGACCAGAAGTCATATGTTGACCTTCATGTCTCTCTGGGCCTGGTTCTCATCAGAAGCATTTTATATCCCAAATCATCCACACTCCATGTGTTTTCTGAAATGTCTGCCCAATACAACACAACAAACAACAAACCGTGTTCTCAGATGTGTGCTGAGAAGCTCAGATGTGTCTGGGAACCGCAAGTGTTTACTCGACTTGTCATGTTTGTAGTTAGTCCATGATAAATGGCATGAAGGTCTTAGGTTTGGGCCCTCTCAGCACCATCTGACATCACAGCGCTCTCTGAAGGCTGAGAAAATAATTATAAAAAACAAATATAGCTGCAAGCGGCGATCACCAGGGGTCAGGCAGATGAGAACACTGGACAACACAACCAGAACGGACACACGGCCGCTGTAGATGGACGCTTCAGTGGTCAGATGGTTTTAGGGAAGCAGAATTTGCTGTCTCAAAACCAGAGTTTGGCCTGTCACTATGTGCACCCATTTTCCTAAATGTGTGTTCACAGAAGTGTTCAGGTCTAGCCCACACCTGAAGCGTTCACTGGCTTGCATTTGCAAAATTTCTAGCACAACACTGACAACATGAACTTGTTTCTAAATGCACACTTGATTTGGGACTAAAAAGCCATATGCACTGTTCATACCCCAGATGATGTTTGCTGAAAGGGTAAGTTCCTAACCCTAATCCAAATAAATCCTTATTTAAATAAATAAATAATTCCCTTCATCTAAATGGCTTGATAATTGTGAAGTAAACGCGTACACCCTGCCATCAAAACCCACACACGGAGATGAATGTGCGAGACAAGTTGCTCTATCTTGCATAATTTGTCAAAACAAATAAAAACTTCAGCTAGAATGCAGAACACACAGAAATGAAGTGACGCCATTACAGATGGAGAACAAATGCAAACACACACATTGAAATACAAAAGAAAACTTTGACAAATGTTAATTTTATCCTAATAATACATATTTTATGATGTAAGATTTTACATTTTATTATGTAAGAACCTGAATAGAGTAAGTGATATAAATTAATTGTTCCATCCCTGTCTGGTCTGGGGTGAGTTTACCCTGAGCGGACAGCACATGAGGGCTAGATTGGGTTTCTCAGAGTGCCGTCTATAGGGAATAGAAATGAAGTGGGTTATGTTTTTTGTATTGATGCCGTGTAGACTTCTGGGTAATAGAGCTCATACAGCAGCAGCTCGATCATAATTCACAGATTCATAATGAAGCTGCTTACGATCTGGACCACAGACAGCATGAGTTTGTGTGTGTGTGTGTGTTAATGATGAAGATGATAGAGGTTTCTCAGCAGGTCACCTGCCTCATAGTACACTGCAGCACACATGTCTGTGTGACTGACGCACATGTTTCCCATCGCAGCATTAGCGACTCTAACCCTCTCGTGTGTTTATCTAGATGAGGATGATGATGGCAAAGCTCACACACGGCCGCTGTTGAAGAAAGGCACGTGTCTCTCGTTCTCACACTCCGCTCTGTCTCGCACCTGCATGCTCCTTCTCTCTGCAACTTTTTAGGGATCGCCGCTTTGAGTGTTTTCTGCTGGTGTGACCTCTGACCTGATCTAGATGTGTTTGTGTTTCAGCTCCGATGATGTCACTTCCTGTCACGTTCTAATTCTGTGTCTTCCTAAAGGGTTGCTTGTCTTTCCCACTGAAGAGTCTGCCTCAGTCTTTCCTTTCTTCTGTCTGCTCATGGATTATTGTTATTGGTGTGTGTGTCCTGATATGGAGTGTGATAGTGTGTGTTTGTGACTCCAGATAAACGGAGCCCGACGCTTCCTCTGAACATGATGGACCAGCGGCTGTTGGACGCAAGTCAGCAGTTCCAGCAGAAGCAGGGCAAGGGCACGGTTGACGTTTGGTGGCTCTTTGATGATGGGGGTAAGTGTAAAACATGTGCAAACTTACAATTGACCATTCGCAATGATTACTGTTTTCTGTTGCCATGTCCGACAAGCCACACATTTTCATGCAGTGGGAGGCGTGTTCCTAAATCCCAAACCACTTTGGCTGCCGGCAAAGGCAAAGTTTCCTCTTTCTGTTAGCGGAAGTTAATGCTCTGGCGGAGTAAAGCTGGGAAAGCTGCACAGCCTTCTGTCTGGAGTATCTCCAGAGCTGCCAGTGGGAATAACTGAGATCAAGAGACTAAATAATCTAGCAGATCTTAACTTGTCCTGCCAAGTTTTTTACTGGCTCAACCACAAAAAAGAAAGAAAAATAGTTTCTGTTTGTGACTGCAGTCTGTTCTTAAAGAGTAACTAAACGCTAAACCAACTTTTTTAGTTAATGATCTGTAAGAATGGATCTTTATTAAAACCAGTCATTGATTCGAGTAACTTTTTTGACATTTGTTTATAAAGTGATTTATTTCTACAATATATGGTGTAAAAACGTCTTAGTGCTGCCCTCTTCAGGTTGAACGGTGGCTACTGCAGTTGAATTTTCCTATTGGATGTTCCGCACTTCGTGACATACCCAGGTTTCAGCTCACCACGCGAGCTACGCCCTTGGTAGTATAAAAATCTTGTGTCGTCAAAACCACTGTAGGGAGTCAGGAATTGGAATTGTGAGTATTGAAAACGATCAGGATAGAGTGTTTTAGCATCTATTTCGTCCCCTCTATCCCCTCTGGGGTCTGCCCACTTTTTCAGCATTTTCAAATATTGCCAGTGGGTGGAGTCAGGCTCTGACCAGGGGTTTAGTTACGCTTTAATGTCATGGAAACAGCAATTGCAAATTACAGACTTGTATTTAAAAGCTGCCGTTATGTTGAAATGATAAAATCTCCTGGTAATCAGTAAAGTAAAGAGACATTAGTTTACAGAAATATGATTCGCAACATGGTAAGAGAAACCCAAAAACACGACCACAATTCATGAGAGGAGTTTCATGTTGATTAGGGTTGTCGTGTATATATTTGTATGTATGTATATATGTATTTGTGTACAGGGCTTGACATTAACACCCGCCAACCCGCCAAATGGGGGTGGATTTCACACGTGGCGGGTAACACAGTCACACCCACTAGCCACTTTGGCGTGTTGAAAAATTGTAGTCTTGTCAAAAGACATCTGACATAACAAACAAATTGCAGCACATTAGACACGCGGAGATTATACTCGTGGGCTGGCCGTCGGACTGAGGGCTGTTTTAGTCTCCCCTTAATCATCAACTTAATGTGATGATATAGTTTATTATTTAATAGCAGGAGAATCCAGAACATAGGCGCGTCTTACGCTCTCCTGCAGTGCTGCTGCGCGTGCCAAATATGACATCCAGACTTTTGTCAAACGATCATCACACGTGACTGGTCGCGTGCCGTGCACACACACATCAACACAGCGTTCAGTCAGTTCGTGAGTGTGCGTGGCCGATATAAATAAAAAATAATCTTCATGATTAAGGGACATGGTGTAACTACTATCACTATCTTTACAGAGTTAATTCTATGTTTTAATAAAATGAATCATGCCATGAAAAAAAAAAAACAGGAGATGCATTTGTGGGAGTAATCTGGGAAATAAAGACCTGTAGGCCTATACTTCTTTCAGGTGGACATATCTCCAGCTACTCAGAGCTACATGATGATCATTATTAAGTCAGAGCTCTGAGGAAATGCTGATGCTAAACAAACAATCCAGGTCACCAAAACTATGTCATATAGGCCTATATAATGTTGTAATCCTGTTGCCTTAATTGTGGATTTTGTCTTAGAAAAAATAATGTATTCTTTGCTCATTGTGGCAGATAATTGTTCTACTCTGTATTACAGTAACTATTTACTGCTGTAAAAAAAAGATGCAGCACTTTTATTATATACAATAAGAATTTTGAAGCTATTGTATGTGTTTATCTTAACCCTTCTATTATCTTCATTTGTGTCTACACTCATTATCTTTGGGGTCTCCAGGGACCCCAGACAATAACATTTAATTTTGAAGCCGTATAATATATATATATATTTTTTTTTTTTTTACAAATGTAGTTTTTTTACATTTGTGCAGTTTTTGGAGGATTTTTTATATCTTTTCAATTAAAATTAAAATTCTATAAATTAATAAATAAATATTTATTTAAATAGGCTTTTTACAAAAACTGCATTGTATGTAAAATTCACTTTATAAAACAATTTTTTGGAAAATGCAGTTTTAAAATAAAAAAATATCACTTTAACCACTAGATGGCCATAGACCTCCACTATAAGCTCTTTGCTATTTGACTAACCAAACTATATATATATTTCACAAGTTTTTCCAGTTGGATTCATATCTAAATATTATACAATCACAATTATAACCAAAAAAAAAAAAAAAAACTTTTTGTCAAAGTTAAGTATTTTTTGTACTGACAAAAGTTTTTCAATAATGTTACATTATGATTAGAATCAAAACTGAACAAGATGTTACAAAGAGAAATGTTGGAGTCTTTAGATTTGATCATTTATTTCAATTATCTGTTTTTAATATAATTCTATAATTTTAAATCAACGTTCAGTTGATTTAAAAAAAGAACAAAAATCAAAAGAACAAAATTTAACAGAAATGAACAGTTATATTACATATTGGAAAAAAAACAAAACATAAAAATGCAATGAACTGAACAGCAATAACAAATGAGCATATAAAGCAGTAAAAAAATAAAATTGTTGTAATAAATAAACGATTTCCTAAAAAAACTGATTGGATTTTGTGTGTGTGTGTGTGTGTGTGTGTGTGTGTGTGAACAATTAGGAACAATAACTGGTGGTGCACTGAAGGTGTTTACTGTTTACTGGAGGTGTTGGTATTTGAAGTGTGTGTGTGTGCATTGTGGATGTTTTTTTTGCATTGTTGGAAGTGTGCCACTTTATTTCTGTCTATGTGATCTGCGTTGTTTCTTCGTTGTTTCTGATTTTAATGATGAATTTTGTATATTCACTATGCGGGGTCTCCAGGGACCCCGAAGATAAAGAGTGTTGGCATTTTTTTTTTCATGCTAACATAAAAACAGATATCATTCAATTTTTTTTTTTTTTGGGGGGTAGATCTAGACAGTGTTAAGAGTCGTAGAAAGTTTCATACCATTTGGAAAAAGAGAACATTTTTTCATTTGCGGGTCAAAAAGACCCCAAAGTTTTCACAAGATGTAAACAACACTGGTCCAGAAGCACTTCCTGTTTCAGTTTGTAACTGTTTTCTTTATTTCACATGTAAAGAAAACATCTTAAAGATGTTTATTTAACTTTTTGATTCAGTTTTAAATGTTCTGTTGGTTGTATTTTATCCCAGCTTTTATGTAGTGTTAAAAAACTGAAACAGGAAGTGCTTCTGGACCAGTGTTGTTTACATCTTGTGAAATGGTCTATAGGTTGCAGCAGTTGCCACAGAGTTGAGGGCTGCATTGGGATTGAGTACCGCCGGGTCCCGCGGGACCCAACACAAATCTCCCGGGAGCGGGCAGTTTGAACTTTGCTGCGGGCGGGAATGAGCGGCTAAAAAAAAACTGCGGGATCGGGAGGTAGTCTAGCGACATGATGGAGATGTCAATAAATGATGTGGAAAAGATCCTCAAACGAGGTATTTACAGCACAAAACCTAAGCAAGGCAAGTCTGACATTTGGACTTTTATTCATTTCCTGATCAGTGTGTCAAAAGACATGTAGGCCAGGGTAACGAAAAAACAACCCCATGATTCTCTTTAATAATAGCAATACAAATATGTGTTTTTTCCTGTGGGATGGGAGAAGACACAAAATCAAAATCATCTCTATTATTGTGCGGGAATAAATTCTCAGAGTTTTGCGGGTGCAGCCGGGAGTGGACATATATATTGCAAGAGCGGGCGGTAATAGTCAGAAATTTGGCGGCCGTGGACGGAAGCGGGATGAAGAAAACAGTCCCGCCCAGGGCTCTACTGCAGAGCAGCCAATAGGTGCGCGAGCTGCCTCGCCTAGGTCTGCTAGCTGCAGCAAGTGAGTTTAAATTAATACAAATTATAAGGATAATTTTTGCCTTCAGTATTCTCGAGAAGAGGTTTTCCCTCTAATGTTGTTTTTTTCCATAGTCAACTATCTAGCTAGTTATTCAACATGACATCATGACTTTGCGTAAACATAGACACCAATTTCGAGTCAAGTGGCGTGTTATCTCGACGCATTTTGAGCTATCTGCGTGTATGCGTCTATGTCTACGCCATTAACGTCCGCGTCATTCCGTGTGTCTGTACACACCGTCAAATGTCTGAGCAAAACAAAGCAAAATGTACATCTACATCTGGGGAGCTTTGTGTTTCTTTCCTAGGATGGTAAGGGAACAGTAATAAATGCCATTAACCCCAGTGACGGTTAGGTTTAGGGACAGGGTTGAGGTAAATCAATAACGTTAAGTCAACGGCGTTCATAAACACACTGAAAAGCGATTATGTGTATTGATAGCACGCCAAAAATGGAAATACGAATTGGCGTGTCATACACACGCTACTTCATGAGATCACTCTGAGTTATTAGTTATCTAACATTAAAAACATTTTTCTATTTAACAAGAAAGTCGTACGAACCTTAAAGGAACACTCCGACTTTTTGGGACTTTAGCCTATTCACCTTACCCCCCAGAGTTAGATAAGTCCATACATACCTTTTTCATCTCAGTGCGTGCTATAAGTCTGTTTGACGCACCCACCGCTAGCCTAGCTTAGCACAAAGACTCGATGTGACTGGTTGCAGCTTTCATACTAATCCAAATGAGTGGCAAAATAACGCAAACGTTTTCCTATTTACATGTTGTGATTTGTATAGTCACAGAATGTACAAATAACAAAGTCAAATGAGACACAGACATCTTTTAACCGTATAAAACCTGGGAACTATTCTCTGAAGGCGAAGCACTGCTACTTTGACGGCATAATAACCGCATCACCGGAGACACGCCGTGGTGAGGAGCGGAGAGTTCGCTCGGTGTTTGGCTAACAGAGTCAGCAATTTATAAATAGTAAAAGCGTAGTTTAGAGTCATGGGTTTTCGCTCTATTGTAAATAGCTGCGACAGTAAACAGGGGAGGTAACCATGTTTCACAGAATTCCAACTAAAAACGCTGACTGGATGAAGAAATGTCTAACTTACTCTGGATATTTATCCAAACACACCTAAGATTATCAAGGGACATTATGTTTGCTCGGTACATTTCAATGAGGACGACTATTTTGAAAAAATGGAATTTGCCACACGGACCATAATGTGCTGAAGGATACGGCCATCCCATCGATGGCACGTAACGTTACAGGACAAGTGGATCACCTGCGGCTGAGGTAATGTTCCGTTATGTTTTTAGATGACCTACTGTAACAGTGCCTTTAGCCAGATCTAATGTAACGTTAGTGACACTATTATATGATTAGGGTATGAATATGTTTTTATCTTGATGCGGTGCGGACGCGCTTGGGAAAAAAAAACGAGCGCGTTCACCGCGTTGAACTTGCACCCTGCGCGTGGCGCGCCTAGTAGCCTAAATTTGAAATAACCATGGAAATAACGAACTTGAGCGTGCAAAAGGGTACGATAGGCTGTGAGTTCATTGTGCAAAAACAATTTGTGCTATTACTTTCCCCTTATTCTATCCTATGGTAATGCAATACTGTATATTATATAGTCTTCTGTTGAATACATTTGGTTCAGCTAATAAATTGCATTTAAAATATATTGATTCCTGTAATAATAATTATTTATTCATGTGATATTTATAAATCTGGGTGCGTTTTTGGTTGGAAATCAATGAAACATGGTACTGTATTACCTGGTCTCCCCTGTTTATTGTCACAGCTCATACAATAAAGCAAACACCCATGATAAACTATGCTTTTCTATCTAACGTTAGTAATTGCTGACTCTTTATTCCAACGCTGAGCGAAGCGAACTCTCTGCTCCTCGTCACGGTGCGTCTCAGGTGATTGTTATCACTCTGCCCAAGTAGCAGTGCTTCCCCTTCAGAAAATATAGTATTTATACGGTCAAAAGATATCTGTGTCTCATATGGCCTTGATATTTGCACACTCTGTGACTATACAAACCACAACATGTAAATAGGAAAACGTTTGCGTTCTTTTGTCACTCATTTGGATTAGTATGAAAGCTGCAACCATTCACATCCAGTCTTTGTGCTAAACTAGGCTAGCGGTGGGTGCGTCAAACAGACTTATAGCACGCACGGAGATGAAAAAGGTATGTATGGACTTATCTAACTCTGGGGGGTAAGGTGAATAGGCTAAAGTCCCAAAAAGTCGGAGTGTTCCTTTAAAGTGTTAACCTGTTACCTCTGACCTTCAACAGCTGTCACAGCTCCTGGTGCAGATAGGATGTGTTGTTGCAGGAACTGATTTGTTATAGGCTACTCCTGACTGGTTGAAATCTCATGCTACTTAGGACAAATGTACAGTAATGTACAGAAGTAGCTGCACTGCTTAAATACAAAATTAGTTTTTGAGCGAAAAGATAAGTAAAGTCACTCTGATGACACAATTTTTATGTGAAATGTGCATATTTACCACCAATTGTCATGGCAGTGTTGTAGTACTCGAGACTCGGACTCGGTCTTGAGACCATATTTTAATGGTCTTGGTCTTGTCATGGACTCGTGTGCATTTGGACTCGGAATTGACTCGTACTCGAACATTTTTTTTTTAGGACTCGGACTTATTCCCGAGTCCACTCGAGTTCAATTCAAAATATTTTTCATGATTATTAATGTATGTTAATAAAATATTTCTTTAAATTGATTGACACGCCCAGTGATTGGTGATTTTCTAGTGCGCAACTGCGCATGACAAATTGTAATAAAATTACTTTTAACACCACCTACTATGTGGCCTTTTTACCCTAAACTGATCATATTTTTTAAACTCAAAGTAAATTCAGTAAAAATAAAGGATTTCTCTAAGTAAACAAAAGTAAATTAGGTAATCAGCCCTCACTGGTCTCGGTCTCGACTCGGACTCGACCGTCTCTGGTCTCGGACTCGACTCGGACTCGACTCTCTATGGACTCGGTCTTGACTCGGACTCGACTCTCTCTGGTCTCGGTTTCGACTCGGACTCGAGTGAGGTGGTCTCGACTACAACACTGTGTCATGGTATGGGTAATTTTTTTTTTTTTTTTTTAACTTGAAACCAATTTCTTTGGATTCCTTGACCCCAAAAATGTACACTTTGACACTGAATTTGTCATTATAGAGCTAACAGAAGGAAAGATATGGGCTCTAGAGTATTTTCGGTGCATTGGTGGCCATTTTTGAAAAAACATGTTTATTTCTGATGCAAAGTGTGATCTCACTTGTTTCGTATGATAAATTTATTTGTATGACCCTTAGGTACTTCCATACCAAAGGCGACCTTTGCATCATGACTTGAAGTCAAAGGCCTATTTTTTGGGCTTAACCTCCCTACTATTAAGGCCAGACAAGTAGTTTGTTGAGGGTTGGTTTTTTAGGGAGAAGAACTTATGAGTTTTGTGTTAAAACGGTATCATGTTAGCGGCCCCGAAATTAATAGCTAATGGTCTTTGCGACGGAAGTGAATCAATCAAAACTAACTTAAGTTGGACAATAACTTTATTCTAGAGCTGCTGTAAAGGCTAAACAATCTCTGTTATTTTAATTTCCTATTATCACTGTAAAGTAGTTTTGGAACAATCTACATTGTTAAAAGCGCTATATAAACGAAGGTAACTTGACATGGAGCTGCTGGAAACACCACAGCCTGACTGATGCTTCTCACAGACTGACCCTCGTATTACATGTCAAGTTTATCATCTGTAGAGCTGCCTCTCCTGCTAGATCATGTGTAATGTGTGTAATCTCTGTTCCAGGTCTGACTCTGCTGATCCCTTATCTCATCGCCAACAAGAAGAAATGGAAGGACTGTAAGATCCGCGTGTTCATTGGAGGAAAGATCAACCGGATCGACCACGACCGCAGAGCGTGCGTACATCAATACTACATACATACACACACGTAGTGTCATTGCTGCATTATTTATATTAGAATTCTATGAGAAGAATATGCGTTTCTTTCTTTTTTCTGTAGAAGAACACAGTCAACATGCATGACTCAAATGAACTATAAGAATATGCTTTTCTTTGATATTTGACTTCATCTCACAGATGTCAGGGCTAGTCCTGTAGAGTTGAGATCACACAGACGAGCGAGCTGGACTAGTATGCGGTTTCTTTTTACATAAAGCACTCTCTGTGGCACACGCACTCTGTGTGTGTGTGTGTGTGTGTGTGTGTGTGTGTGTGCGTGTGTGTGTGTGTGTGTGTGTGAGACAAATGTTTCCCATTGTCCTCTGCAGCTGCCAGTGCCTTTGTTCGCTATAATTATCAGTGTTCCAGCGGTAAGGTCTTCATAGAGACTGTGAGGTCTTTCACATGTTCATCTGCACAGGTTTCTGTTGAGTCTAACACACTGGAGTCTTCATCACCAGCGTTCAGAACCACTTCCTTCTTCCTATGTGGAGAACTGTCAGAGCTGCAAGGAAGCGGTGGCAATATTGTGTGCATTATTTATGATTGCCTGATAAATATGTGATGACTATGTTGCTCTTTCCTCAGCATGGCCACATTGCTCAGCAAGTTCAGGATCGATTTCTCTGACATCACTGTCCTGGGCGACGTCAATACAAAGCCCAAGTCAGAGGGGTAAGATCTGCATGACACTTCTCAGAGGTGCTCTAATAGACTAGGTCGATTTTCAGATAATGTGACACCCTCGGGCATTTTTGAGTAAAAGATGGCAAACAGACTTTTTTAGGGGTATTTTTTTCTGCTGAATCTATTTTTGGTGTTTGCCAAGCTGTATCTCTTATGTGAAACTCAGTAGAGCGCAAAGTCCAAGATGACCTCTAAAATGTCAGGAAATTCCACAATTAATGAGTATATAAAGTTTATTTAGGTGGGAATTAAGGTAATTTGTATGTGACAATGATAATTGAATTATTTCTCATTGTAGTCATTTGTTTGGAGTCACATGCTATTGTCTTTGGGTCAAAATTGAGTTCGGAGTTATCAATAAGGTTTTTTATTCTACTTTCTATTTCTATTACTTTCTGCAGTTATTTCCACACACATCGTATTTTTCATCAGAATTAATTTCTATATCTAAAGAGCAACATGAACCGACACAAAATATTTCCAGTTGTGGAATTGTACCCATGAAGTTGGTCAGATTATAAGATCACCACATCAATATGGATGCTGTGTGTAGTTTGAAGTCTGACCGGTCAATGTCATTGTTTTGTAGTAAGAGAAGAGAAAATAATATCATGCAATCCAGAGAGCCTTTTCATGTTCCTTCACTTATTGTTTGGTGGACAGGGTCTCTTAGAAGTGGATCATGATGATGGTGTGCTCAAAATAAAAAAGATGACACTCAAAGTAAGGTTCTTAAGTGTTGCTCAAGACCTAGTGTACAACTTCAGTTGTGGTAAAAACTGGTAGGGCTGTGCAAAAATTAATTGCGATTAATCGCATCCAAAATAAAAGTCTGTGTTTACATAATATATTTGTGTGTGCTGTATATAATTATTTTTTATATATATAAATACACACACATTCATGTATATATTTAAGAAAATGTGTTATTCATACATAAAATATTTATATTTATATAATATAGATTATGTATTTATATATATATATACAGAATTTAAGTGCAAATAATTCTTAAATATATACATGCATGCATAGGTATTTATATATACAAAATAATTCTATACAGCACACACAAATATATTATGTAAACACAGACTTTTATTTTGGATGCGATTAATCGCAATTAATTTTTGCACAGCCCTAAACACTGGACTTCCAATATTGGTCTAGCAAACACATTGCACCAAGCTACCAGATCAAAAGAACTGGTTGAGCTGTTTCACATGGCTGGTCACTTCATAAGCTACTTAAAACAGGTTGATACAGCTTTGGAGGAGGTCCTTCAAGCAAACAAGCGGTATGTCTTCCTCTGCCAGTGGGGTAAAGACTGGAAGATTCTACGCTGCTGCCCATCTTGATGTCACTCCCTCCAGTCCCAGACTACTGTTTGGAATTGATCAGCTGCAACTGCTCCTCAAGATGTGCACGATGTAAATGTAAAAAGTTTCGTCTGCATTGCTCTGCTGCATGCAAGTGCAAGGGGGGGGGATGTTTTATTTTTTTTATTGTGCCTCGAGATTCCCATCATCCCAGTTGTCTCATTCCTGAGAACATTGTGAACATGTCACTTCAGCTTTCACAATGTGTGTGTGTGTGTGTGTTTGTCATTTAGTCTGACAGAGTTTGCTGAGATGATCGAGCAGTATAAACTGAGAGAAGACGATATGGAGCAGGACGCGGCTGAGAAGATGAAGAGCGAAGAACCCTGGAGAATCACTGACAACGAGCTGGAGCTCTACAAAGCCAAGGTTTCAACACACATTGCTGATCATCTCAGTAAACTAGATTAGATGACCCAAACTAGATAACCCATCAAGCAGAGATGGTGAGAAGTCTTGTGCCACCCAAAGCACAGCATGTGAGTTTAGTTGCAAGCAGTAGTGGATAGAATTATTCCTAAAGGCCTGTTCACACAAGGACAATAACTATAACGATAACTATTATGTTTTAATAACCATCCTATAGAATTAGAACGATTATTAAAATATAAGGAAATCCACAAGATGACATAACTGCATGGTTTATAATAAACAGGATGATATCACCCACTGATATGGACTCTAATATAGTCAGCATTCTGGGGTGCTTCTCAATATCCCTCCTCTTCTCCTCGCTCCTCCGTCTTCCATCCTATTACCCGGAAACCGATCGAGCTCAGCCATCTTAAACAAAGAGTATAGAAGAACAAGAGGCGAAACTCTGATGCTTTTTTGGTAACAGCCACTAGATGACGCTTCGGTAGAGCGGCCGCCATATCGGGGTGAAAATTTCAATGGGAACCGGATGGTTCAGGTCCAAAAGATAGTGTTAATAACAGTTTCAGATGCAGCTTCAAATGTCTTTAAACGATACCAGACGATGAATAAGGGTCTTATCATGCGAAACGATCGGTTATTTCAAAGCTTATTCCAAAAATGTAACTTTTCTAAGGACAAATGCTAGCCTTTCTCCATTCTGTGAGGCGCGTTTGCAACGTCACTTAGTGCGTAATTACGTTCAAAAGGTCACGGGCGACGTAGCCAGAAGTAGAGTCAGAGTGTTTACAAGTTGAACGCATAGGTTGAACGTCAAAACTAACTCAAACGCCGTTTACAAAAAAGGAATTAAAAGGTAAAACAGCGATGTCGGACTATTTTTATTCTGTACTTCCGGCTACGTCGCCCGTGACCTTTTGAACGGTCATCTAATATTTGATGACCGTTCAAAAGGTTTGAACGGACCTCTAATATTTGATTAGACCAAAGGTTCATTGTTCGCCGGAGTTCTCCTTTAAATAGAATAGTGAGGTGAAAAGATGGTGTGCATTTGTTTCCTTGAAGTGTGTTTTCTTTAACATATACAGTAACTTCAGTCTTCCTGTGAAATGATTTGTGTTTCCTCAGAGTAACCGTCAGATCCGGCTGAACGAGCTGTTGAAGGAGCACTCCAGCACAGCCAACCTCATAGTCATGTAAGTTACAAACCTGACCCTATACTGGCGTAGTGATTTAACCAGATTAAAGTACTTCAAGTAGTTATAGCTTCACGCTGCTTGAATATGACTTTTTGAATTTTAAGTCCTGAAAAACCCTTGAAAACTATGGAAGCTTGTTTCCGCCACTGAATGAAAAATATAAAAGGTAATTGTGACTTTTTATCTCACAATTCTGACTTTTTTTCTCACAATTGTGATTTTACTTCTCGCAATTCTGACATTATTTCTCAGAATTGCGAGATGGAAAGTCAGAATTGTGAGATATAAAGTCAGAATTGCGTGATATAAAGTCGCAATTGCGAGATATAAAGTCAGAATTGCCAGATATGAAGTCAGAATTGTGAGTTATAAAGTCAGAATTGCAAGATATAAAGTCAGAATTGCGAGATATAAAGTCAGAATTGCTAAATATAAAGTCGCAATTGCGTGTTATAAAGTCAGAAATGCATGATATAAAGTCAGAATTGTGAGATTTAAACTATTCTGAGGGGGAAAAAAGTTAGTCTTTTTTTCCCCCCTTAGAATTGGCCTAATAAGTCGCAATTGCGAGTTTATATTTCACAATTCTGAGAAAAGATGTCAGAATTTTGACATATAAACTCGCAATTATGTGTTATAAAGTCAGAATTGCGAGATATAAAGTCGCAATTCTGAGAAAAAAAGACAGAAGTGTTACTTTTTTTCTCACAATTGCGAGTTTACATCACACAATTCTGACTTTATATCTCGCAATTCTGACTTTATATCTCGCAATTCTGACTTTATAACACACAATTCTGACTTTATAACTCGCAATTGCGACTTTATATCACGCAATTCAGAGAAATAAAGTCAGAATTGTGAGATATAAACTCGCAATTGTGAGGAAAAAAAGTCCGAATTGTGAGAAAAAAAGTCCGAATTGTGAGATAAAAAGTCACAATTATTTATTATATTTTTTTATTCAGTGGCGGAAACAAGCTTCTATAGAAAACAGCCATATTTATGAAGAGGTACTTGAAAAGTGGTTGACTTATTTAAATATAATATATATGAAAATTCATTTAAAAAAAAAAACCCCACACAAATACAATCTTTTCATGCTAAATGAACACTGCAGCCCATCTGATAAAACCCCATCAGACCTTTTCTTGATACGAAGTATGCCAACTTTATCATTCAAATATTATTTATAGAACAATAAAATAGCCATTATAAACTTTTTACTTAATGTATATTATTAAATGCGTTGCAAGTTGTATTCTAGATACCTTCTATCTGTAATTTGAGTTTTTTTTAAAAATCCTAAAGATATTGTTTGATAAGTGTGATCTCATTGTGGTGGTCCTTGAAAACCAAGAAAGTAGTGCTTAAAGTCCTCAAGTCCTGGAATCTGTTTGACAATGTCAGTAAACAATCAGAGTCACATACTGAATGTGATAGTTATATATAAATATTCAGTAATATTCATATCTGAATACTTATAATATTTTAGATGCATTCCAGTCAGGCTTTAGGACCTCTCATAGTACAGAATCGGCACTGTCAAGGTCACTAATGATGTACAGTATTATTATCGTTGGACTCGCATGTTGTTCTGGTTTTATTGGATCTGAGCGCTGCCTTCGATACAATAGATCATGAAATTCTTTTCAATCGTCTGGAGTGTTGGGTTGGTGTGCAGGGTATAGCTCTTCAGTGGTTTGCTTCATATTTAAAAGGCAGGACAGTTGCTGTGAATCTGGGAGACTTCTCTTCCACATTGGCCCCTTTAGTTTGTGGTGTCCATCAGGGGTCGATTTTGGGGCCGTTGTTGTTTTCGCGGCTCTACATGTTTTCTTTAAGCAGTGTTTTTCGAAAGTATAGCATTTCATATCATTGCTATGCAGACGATTTTACTTTCCTGTGAGGCTAGATAAAACCTGTTCGTTGGACAAAGCACAGGATGTTACAGTGACATTAAACTCTGGCTATCTAGCTGTTTTCTCCAATTAACTGAGAGTAAAAGTGAGGTTTTGATTGTAGGCGGTCTCATCTTGCATTCCTGATCCATTTGGGTTCTTTATCCCTGAAGACTGAGAATCATGTAAAGAGTTTAGGAGTAATCATGGACTCATCACTTAACTTTGAGAAACAGTTTAGTGCTGTTGTCAAAGGAAGCTTTTTTAACCTGAGATCAATTGCTAAAGTAAAGCATTTTTTTATCTAGTGAGGATTTAAAAATTGTAGTTCTTTTATTACATTTTAGCTTGACTACTGCAATTCTCTATATATCGGTCTCCCCCAGACTACAGTTAGTGCAGAATGCAGCTGCAAGACTTTTTGCAAGACGGGGATGCGAAAGAGAGAACATATTACTCCGGTACTGCAATCCCTACATTGGCTTCTGGTCAAATTTAGGATTTATTTTAAAATACTCTTGTTTGTTTACAAGGCATTGTCAGGCCTTGCTCCCCAGTATATCAGCGATCATATAGTTCCTTACTCTCCTTTTCGAGTTCTCAGGTCCTCCGGTCTACGACTTTTAAAGGTACCTCGTTGTAATTTAAAATCAAAAGGAAATCGTGCTTTCTCTGTGGTAGGTCCCAAACTTTGGAATAGTCTCCCATTCCATGTGAGGTCAGCTCCATCGATTACAACTTTTAAGTCTTATTTAAATACTTACTTATTTGAATACTTACTTATTTGTAGTCTGTTTTGTTGTATGACTTTCATGTTATTATTCTGTAAAGCACTTTTGGGGCAACGTCCTTTGTTTAAAAAATGTGCTATATAAATAAAGTTGCTTGCTTCTTGCTACTGTAGTGTCTCCAAAACAGCTGAAAATGCAGGAGAACATGAAGCCATTGTCATGATCATGTTTTTTGAGTGAGTTCCTTTCGTTATTTTCCAGCAGCACTAACGTTTGTGTGTGTCTGACAGGAGCATGCCGCTGGCCAGGAAAGGAGCCGTGTCCAGCGCTCTGTATATGGCCTGGCTGGACACACTCTCTAAAGACCTGCCGCCCATCCTGTTAGTGCGCGGGAACCACCAGAGCGTCCTCACCTTCTACTCGTAGAGCGCACAAACACACACACACACAAACACACACACACTAATACAACACATCTTATGATGACGACAGACGCTCCTCACCGAAGCGGACACCAGAGTGGCTCTCTCCTCTACGCCCACAGGAGAGCTCACAGACACACACACACACACACAGAGCACATCTGATGATGATGATGATGATGACGACAGACGCTCCTCAACGAAGCGGACACCAGGGCAGCTCTCTCTGCTGGTGTCCACTGTCTTCAGCTCACCGTTTCTGAGCACATGTTACACTGATTGTTGTTATCATTGTTATCATTACTATGACTGTCACAACTTTCTGAGTTGTGGATTTATTTTTCCTTTTTCGTACTTTTTAATTTGCTCTTGATAAAGCAATAATCACCTGATTTCTTATTTTCTCACTTTGAAGAAAAAAATCGGTTCTGTGCAACACTTTTCTAGCCTTGTGGATGTGCCTTCCTGTGTGATCTTATTACATACTTACATTTTTCCCTGACTGGTGATTTATGATCTAGATTTTAGGCTGTTTATTGGGTTGTAAATGTAAATCTTCCTTGATTTGATCACGCTTGGACACGAGTGGACTGAGGTCTCCACTGGGCAGCATTAGAAAATACTTTCTGGCTTTTTTTGTAGTCCGTTTTTTTTTTTTTTATTATTATTCTTCTGTTGTTTTTTTCTTCAAAGTTTTACGTCTTCCTTTAAGCATTGAATGAGTTGTGGTGTTAGCTCCTCCATGTTCTCCATTGATAGACCTGAACTACGGGTGATTTTTACAATCATCTTTCACGTAGTCTTATGTAAAAAGTCAGAACTTTAACAAAACTATATTAGTTTTCCCTTGTGTACAGTTGAACAGTTTTTGGTTTGACGAAGAGAGGCTGATGGATGAGTGCTGTCTGAAGGAATCGGATCCTTTCAAACCAACAATGAACCAAAAGAAGCAAAGCCCTGGAGTCACAGAAGACCTTTGCCTTAACAGATGAAGTAAGGATTGTAGTTTTTACTCGTCGTCGTCTTCAGCCACACTGGCTAGCTGTAGATTATAGATGACAGATGGACTAATGCCTGAACGAGAATGTAATCCTGGCCGTCTAGGAAAGCTCTCCATCTTTCCACTTTCCTAGTTTTATAAAGCCGTCTGGAATTGTACGTTAGTACCGTGCTAAAGCACCATCTTCCTCTCTCACGGACAGCATGTTTCCTGCGCTGAATGAAGCTGATTCGTTCCTCTATGCAGGTGGACTGCGTGCGACTCGTTGAAATATTGTAATCTAAACTCAGGATCGAGAGCCGGGTTCATCTTTAATGTTGGAGACGTCTGACGTCCAGGATTTAGTCTGTCCTGTTCTGAATGTTATCTGTTCGTCCGGTTGGTTTTTGTGATTGAATGCTGGGATGTGACAAGATGTTTGATGTATGGCCCATCATGCCTTATTTTAGAGCGGTCCGTAACTGAAGCGTTGGTCAGTTTAGTGTCATATAGAGTGTCTTTGGTTTGGTCACACTTTGAATCTGGTTCCCAACACTAATAGTTTGCAGGCGCAGTTTGTTTCAGCTCTGTGTGTGTTATATTCAAGCGATTCAGAGCCCTGCCATTTTACCTGAGAAATAATCCATGTGACGAATATATTCACATTTATAGATCTCAATATAAGCGAATATTTAAAAGTGAAATGTGTGTGCGCACCGCATGTGTTTTCATTTGAAGTGGGTGAAGTTGGTTAAGCTGATGGTACAATCTCACCTGTTGAAAATGTGTCGTTTGTTCGGGTGAACGAGTGCTGTACATACACACCGACGTACGACAAATTCACCAGTTCAACTCCTACCTGTTCACTTCAACAATTAGAACACTTGTGTATTATATGTAGATCTAGAAAAGAAAGCGTGTGTGTTTCTCAGCAATGTAGAAGTGCATTAGCTGCTGCTGTAGGGTCCACACCACGAGGTGCTCTACAAGTGCCTCAGCGGCCGGCTGGTTCTCTGGAGATGGAGACGGTGGCGTGTCACAGCATCTCTCGTCCTGCAGAATGTGTTGCCAAAGTCTGTCTCAAGATTTCTCAGTAGCTTATCGTGTGAAAATGAGTTAACACATCAAGGTCAACGAGTTCCAGCTCTAGTTCACACTATACTTCCTTACTAACTTGTAAATATCTTTTAACCTAACCAGATTAATCAAAGGAGTGGAGTAATAACAAATTAATATGGTGAAATTATTTATTACAGGTTGTTTTTTTGTTTCTCTTATGTTACAGTAGTTTTTAAGATGTTTTTTTTTTTAGTCTGCACAATCTTTTTCTTTTTCAATGTTTGGTCACATTTCTATCTTTTATATGCCTTTTAATGAAATGCTCTGTTGACCGATGGTTTGAGTTTCCTGCTAAACATGAGGGTGGTTCTGAGTGATCGTGCTGGAACAGTAATGTTTTGATATACTGTACTGCTGTTTGTCACATGCTTTTTTCTAACATTTTAACGGTTAAGGGTATTGATGCTTTGTACATCTTTATTGCAATATATAAAAATAAACAAATGATAATCAGTTGTTATTGTGTTGATGCCTCTAAATACAGAAACTTCTCTTTCACCATTGGGTCCGAAATTATCTTTCTTGACCTCAGAGACGACCTTGCAATCGGCCCATACCTTTGTGTTCAACACTGGACCGGCTCTGACCGCCACACGGACACCATATTCATATTTGTGATTCAGGAGCTGGTTGAGCAATGATTCAGCTGAGGCTCTCAGAACGATCTCGTGGCACTCGGTTAACTGAAGCTCAGTCTGAAACGCTGTCTTTTATAAGCATCGTTAAATGGTGGCAGTGATACTTGTACCCACAGACAGACCGGTGCTTTAGGAGTTAATGAGGCAAGACATACAGTTTAACAGGTTTATTTACTGTTTGGACAATCTACACCGAGTAGAATTTACAGTGTAATCTGCTTTGTAACATGTTTTGTTTAACTATAAATAATAGCACAATGATCTCCAGTCAGAAGAATGAACTTTTGAGAGAGAGAGAGAGAGAATCAGGGCTGGAAATGCAGGTAATTGGGGACAATTGGGGAATAGAGGTCCAGTTAAAAACAGGCTTTCCATGCATTTAGATTTTAAAAATGAAAAAGATGTCCCCAACTAGGCTGTCAAGTTGCACAAGACTGCATATGCTCACATAAAATGTTAACATCACAATTGTACACAATTTTCCTCAAAGCATCTCAGGTTGAACATTTTGAAAGGCTTAAAAAAAACGTTTTATTTAATAAAAAGAAAAAAAGGGTATAGGGAAAGAAAGTATTATTAGCTCCATATAATGTATGGTGTGTATGGCAGCTTGTGTGCGAGTCTTTAAGTATTCAGACATAATCACCGTGAGCATGTTGGAGAGCAGTGACCTTCTGCTATGATGTGATGGTCATCAGAACCGCTCCTCTACTGGAGTGTGATGTGGAGCGGGTCGCTCTGGGTCTTCAGAACCGCTCCTCTACTGGACTATGATGAACAGGGCTGGAGCGGGTCGCTCGAGGTCATCAGAACCACTCCTCTACTGGAGTGTGATGATCAGGGCTAAAGCGGGTCGTTTGGGGTCATCAGAACCGCTCCTCTACCGGAGTGTGATGTGGAGTATGATGAGCAGGGCTGGAGTAGGTCCCTTGGGGTCTTCAGAACTTCTGATCTGCAGGGTGCAGTGTGTCCTTGAAGAGATCCTGTGTGTGCGGTGCAGGTAACTGACCCCCGCCCGCTGTCTGATCTGGAAGAGCCCGTCCTGGTTTCCGGTCTGGCGCTGGACGAGGGATCGGACTGCAGGCACCAGTTCCAGTACGGCTGCTCTGTGCTTGAGTTGTGAACGCTTGAGAAGTAACTTCAGTGGTTGATCGACGTCCACGCTGGCAAGACTAACTGCTTCCTGTAGGAACAGCAGATATTTTGTGAGGTTCAGTGTGAACGGACATCCACGTGCAAAATTAATTTCAAAGAGGAATGAGACTCTGGGTACATTTACACGACAACGATATGCTTAGAACTGAGAGGTTTTTCCTTTGTTTTTCGTGTACAGATGACACCGTTCTCAAAACGGTCCCCATTCACATGGATCCGTGAAACGACTGAAAACACTCTATTCTGCTGCCAGGCCAGTAGACACAATATAGACTAAACACGTAATACGCATGTGCGTGACATCATCGTCTTCAGGGATTCGTGTTTTTGTGGTTTACACAGAGTACCGGGTTTGGAACGACATGAGGGTGAGTAATTAATGACAGAATTGTCATTTTTTGGAGAATATACCCCTTTAAGAAATAGCTCTGGATTTTTATTTCTCTTTTCTTACCTGTGTGAAGTTTGAAATGTGTCTTCTCCTGACACTTTTCTTCTGGTGTCCATTGGTTTTGCAGCCATAGGATTCAGGAGAAAGATTGTTTTCTTCTTCTGGTCACCACCTCCAAAACCAGCAGCAGATACACAGTGCCTGCAGGAACACACTCGTTTAATCCCACTGATGAGAAAGATCCATTTATAAGACCAATAACTGAACACAGAATGCTGGCTACATGTGTTTCTACCCATGTCATTCACATTTAGCAGACACTTTTGTCCAATGCAATTTAAAAAAAAGAGGAACAATAGCCAATTATCAAAGAGCCAACAATATTCATAATATACAATGCCAGATTTGACAATTAAAGAGAAAGGCTGCTTTGATAGGGAAAAAAATAATAAATAATTGGCCTATGTAACAAACATGGTAAGAAACTAAAGGATCAAGCACCATTTAAATGTTTTATTTTCATAACAATTTTCTTTCTTGTGTTTCAATACTGTAATAAAAACTTGTAATCCATCTGAACATTTTTTAAGTCCCATAATCATCAATGATGATTCTCATTACTGTAATATAGTATTTTTATTATTGTATTACACAAATAGTATAATAATCAATCAGTAAAAAACATGAAATAAAGAGAAGTATAATAAAAAAACTTCACTTTTAAAATCCAGCCATGTTGAGCAGGTTTCATTAGATGTGCCCAAAATTGCTAGTAAAAAAAAAAAAAACAGTTTAATCATTTATAATATTATAATGAAATCCCTATTACTTGTCCACTATCCACTATTTTCGCTATGTAAATATTCCACTTGACTGTAGTTTGAGCGCTAATATGATGAAGTGTAACAGAATTTGGTGCAGACTCACCCCTGTCCTGCTCTGTAATATCCTGCGGGACATCCGCACATGAACCCCCCTGTGTGTTTGAGCAGGCGTATCTGCAGGGGCTCGTGGAAGACACGCACTCGTCCACGTCTTCACAGCTCACGGACACAGGCTCAAACGTGAAGCCAGATGGACAGCCACACTTAAAGCTGCCCAGCGTGTTGAAACAGGAAGCTGAGCCACAGTTGCCCGGATTCAAGCACTCATTGTCATCTGCAGTTCAGAAGAACAGTAAAGCATCACAGATTTTAGAAAAGATCCAATACAAACGTTTTAACTTTGATTTAAAAATTCAGGTCAGTTCTGATTTGATTTGGCAAGCTGTTCCAAAGTTTAGGAGCGGATACCCAAGTACAGACTGTTAGAGGGTAAACATCAAAGTTATTTAAAAAAATACCATTTTCACAAAGACTCACAATTGATAGCATGTTAATCAGGTTGTAAAATCAAGTTTCTATCAAGCTTTAAAGCACTGTCCAGGAGTGCGTTTTCCATACAACACTGTAACTCTCTGTTTAACTACCATAGTACGAAACATTGTTGAAGAAATCAACTAGCTAGTCACGACTGTTTCCTGACACCATACTGTCGCAAAGTAGTCGTTCAACCAAGTTGGTTTATTATGTCACACAGGTGGTGGAATAATAAACTGTTCCCTTTCGTAGTCACTCCGAGTTACGTCGGATGACGGAGAATGGGGGTTTCGCATAGAAAGCCAATCCTCTTCGAGTATTAAAAAACGAGCCAATGGCAAAGAAATGCCATGGGTCTGCGGAATTTGCATAGCGTATCTCCGCCTCACCCCATGAGTATAAAAGGAGGAAGCGGACGCAACCGCAGTATGTTTTCGCTTCGGAGCCAAGAGCATCTCTTCACTCCACAAGCCACAAGATCTGAATTTACAAGTGACTCACCTCTTCGAGACGAGCGGCTCTCCAGTGTTGGTGTGACGGCGGTACCCAGCGAGTCTTCACTTTGCCTGCGGTCTGTGTTGCGGTCTGCCGGACTCGGTGTTTTCTCCCTGGTCGCCTCAGCGCTGTAGAGCTTCCTCTTCTGAAAGAGCTGCACGGTGCGCGTCTTTTTAAAGATGTCTCGCCCGTGTGTTTCTGGTTGCGGTCGATATCTGTCATCTTCTGATGGGCACGAGTGCTGTTTTGTGTGTCTGGGCTTTGAGCATGCAAAAGCAGCACTCGTGGATGACTCATGTTCCTTTTGTGGGAACATGACCATCGCTACACTGAGATCTAGACTCTATGATCTGAAAGTGAGGGTCCCCACACCCACCACCCCTTCTGCTTCCTCTAACAGGGCTAGTAGTTCGGCTGGCGGACCGGGTGATCTGAGGGTGACGGTGTGGAGTGATCCGACGACACGTCCTCGGACCACGCCCCCCTCTCCAGTGTTGCAACCCGCGAGTGCCGCGGTGATTCAGGCGGGGCTTTCCACGGAGGTCCCGCTTGTTTCATTCGGCACTCCAGAGGAGGACGCAATGTCGATCGCGGCATTACAAGGCGAGCAGGAGTCATTGGGAAGTGATGATGCGGCTGCGTTGCCTCCCTCGGGGGTTACAGCGTTGCCCGTGTCGGATCCCGAAATGACTGCTATGTTGTTCTTCACGGTGAGCTCTTCACGGTGAAGCAGGAGCTGGAATACGTCGACAAACAGATCCGTGTGGTCTGCTGGTGAAGCAAGCCAAGCTGTTGGATCGGCGCTCAACGCTTGAAGCATCACGCGCCGACGCTCACAAATCAGTGGTTAGTAACGTTAACTCTTTGAGCCCGACTTCCTCTACTCCGTATGTTACTCTGCCCAGGACGCGATCATCCCGGGCTTCATTCACTCCGGCACCGAAACAGCAACATGGACCATGGATCACACAGCGGAGGACACGAGCCAGGACCAGAGCTGCCTCTCCGCCCCTCCCGGTCTTCGAGATCTCCACCCGGAACCGCTTCTCCCCTCTTCGCGAGCCGGAACGCGACGACGCCGTGATCATCGGCACATCCATGATCCGTCATGTCCGCGCTACTACTTCCGGGAAAGGTAAGGTGCGCACTCACTGCTTTCCTGGTGCTCGTGTTCTTGATGTCGCTGCACAGGTTCCCGAGATCCTGAACGGGGACGAGCGCGTCAGAGCTGTTGTGCTGCACGCGGGAGCGAACGACATTAGGCTGCGGCAGACGGAGGTTCTGAAGAAGGACTACAGGAGCCTGATCGAGACGGTACGCAGCACAGCGCCTAAAGCAGCGATCATCGTGTCTGGACCGCTTCCCACGTACAGACAAGGACAGGAAAGGTTCAGTAGATTATTTGCATTAAATGAATGG